TTCATTTTATATTTTTCGGCGTGGTCAGTCAATTGTTATAAACAAAAAAGTTGTAAAAAAAAATTACTCGCCGAATGGCTTTGAACAGTTTTTATTGTAAAATGAACCAAAATAAACACCTATTGTTCTTTGACAAAAATTCGAAAAATCCTTCATTTCCGAGATATTTACAATTTAATGTGAAAAAAGTGACGAAGTTGACAAACTTTCGGAATTTTTTTCTCAAAAACCACTGAACAGAATGTAATTCTAAAAAAGCATAATAATCGGCAGATCTTCTACTTTAAGATATATTTTTTTGGTATAGGTCAATTATTTTATTGAAGGTCTAAAGTGAGTAAAAAAACAGTCTTTTAAAGAAAATCAAAATGGCAAATAAGTGAATGGAAGCAGGCTACAAATAGTGAGATTGTAACTAGATCCATTGAATTATTTCGAAGGAGAAAGCTTATTTAGTTTAGTTTTGGTATAACTTTCAAGTCAATTTTAGCCATTTATAAAACCAAAAATCGAATATTTAAATTTTACTAATTACTTGCAAAAACCTTACTCCGGCTACAAAACCAAACAAAATGATCTTTTGAACATTTGTACCGTTAACATATATCGATTAGAAAAAATCATAATAATGTTTATTGTAAATATAATCTAATCCAAGATATTGTAAAAAGAAAATTAAATTTGAAGTGTTATCATAATTTTCTTTAAAAGACTTTTTTTACTCGCTTTAGAGCTTCAATAATATGATTGACCCATACCAAAAAATATATCATAAAGTAGAAAATCTGCCGATTATTATGCTTTTTTTAGAATTAAAATCTGTCCAGTAGTTTTTGAGAAAAAAAATCCGAAAGTTTGTCGATTTCGTAATTTTTTTCACATTAATAATTGTAAATATCTCGGAACGAAGCATTTTTCGAATTTTTGTCAAAGAACAAAAAGTGTTATTTTGGTCCATTTTACAATTTGTCAGAGCCACTCGACTTGTAATTTTTTTTTAACTTTTTTGTTTATTGACTGACCACGCCGATAAATATAAAAAAATATGTAAATTATCAGAAAAATACACTATAAAATGAAAAAAGTTTAATGCTGTGGGTTTTTGTTTTAAAAATTTAGTCGGTTCATGCCTTTTCGGTAAAGGTGAACCGCTCACTTATATCTATCTACATACCATTTTTCTTCTGTATCCATGAGCTTAGTTTTGAAAGTGAACTTGGTAATTTTCGCCTGTAATTTTTTTACCTTCAAGATATTCCAAATTTCTATTTACTCCAGTCGGGTTAGACAAAAAAAGGCCTTAACCGGGAAAAAATTAGGGACCACAATTTTATTGTTCTAACCTTTAGGGGGGGGGGTCAATAGTAGTGTAAATTCAGAATCGCGACTGAATTCCACCCCTGCATCAGCCGCCATCTTGAATTTAAGGAAAAATCGTTTTTGCTCAATATCTCGGCCATTTTCAACTTTACAACAAAAATGGTAAGGACTTAAGTTGTTGCAAATGCGATTTCCTACAACTTCTTTTATTACAAATTTTATCGTGCGATCGATATTTTTCAAGTTAAGGGGGAAAATAGTGACAAAGTATAATTATTGAATTATCTCGTTTGTTATTGACTTTACGACATAAATGTACATAAACAAAGTTGGAAAGAATTATATTTTCTACAATTTTGATCTCTTTGATTTTTTCGCTACTACCAACATTTAAGGTCCTACGCTTGCGGAGACGTCAGGCCTATGGAATGTTGATCCCTTGAGTTTAGTTAGGCTTGCCATAGGCGTAGGACCTTAAATTTTGGTAGTAGCGAAAAAATCAAAGAGATCAAAATTGTAGAAAATATAATTCTTTCCAACTTTGTTTATGTACATTTATGTCGTAAAGTCAATAACAAACGAGATAATTCAATAATTATACTTTGTCACTATTTTCCCCCTTAACTTGAAAAATATCGATCGCACGATAAAATTTGTAATAAAAGAAGTTGTAGGAAATCGCATTTGCAACAACTTAAGTCCTTACCATTTTTGTTGTAAAGTTGAAAATGGCCGAGATATTGAGCAAAAACGATTTTTCCTTAAATTCAAGATGGCGGCTGACGCAGGGGTGGAATTCAGTCGCGATTCTGAATTTACACTACTATTGACCCCCCCTAAAGGTTAGAACAATAAAATTGTGGTCCCTAATTTTTTCCCGGTTAAATGACAACCCGACTGGGCTAATTGCAATAGAATAGAAATTCCGGTTATATAATATAGAAATATTTTATAGAAATCTTTTCTTCAATAGCGGGTGGTGTGAGGGGCTCTGGCGCGGCGCCTCCTCCAGAAATCTTCACAGTAAAAAATTTCATTGCGGTTAAATATTGCGTATTAAGATTCACACTTAGACAACTTGTGATCGTTTTTAGCACTGTCATCTACAGAGAGTAAAACTTACAGAATTGAAGAATTCTGTTTAATAACAATTCCTAATTTTACCACGATTCTACATCTGCCACAGAGGAGTTATCCCACAACCTTTTTATAAAATAGTTTCCCCAGACCAATTCCAGGGTGTAGATTTCGAAAATATCATAGGATTTTGCGCGGAACGTCGATTTGAACGGATTTTAAGGTTAAAAGATTAAAATAATATTTTTTGCGAAAAAAACTTTTTTGTTTTCATTACTTTTTCCTGAAAAAGTTATCGTTTACAAAATACAATACCTACCACCTATAACCAATATTTAGAAAAAAAAATAACTTTTAACAGTTTTTTAACACCTGAACGAGCAGTTCCATCTCAAACTCATCAATTTTTTTTCCAGGCAATAGCAACAGCAACGACGCGCCCCCGTGCACTGAGTCCAGCAACCTGCAGCACCTGTCCTCGCAGTGGCACATGTCCCCGACCCACCAAATACGAAACCTGAGCCCCAGCAACACCCACCAGCCCATCCCCAGTAGCCTGGGGCAGCTGGGTCAGCCCATCTCCCAGGGACTGACCACGTTCGGGCAGAACGGGATGCAGCATACCCTCCACGGATACCCGGCCCATCAGGCGCCGAAGACTTTCGGCCACCAGCCGTTTTACGGGTGGTACTGACGATTTTGGTGGATGCGACGGGGTCAACAGCCGCCAGAATTCAGAGCGTACAACCAAATCGCACTTTTATTTGTCTTCTTAGACGAATATTTCGATAAAATAGTTTTTTTCTTAAGACATTTCGAGGATAATGACGTATAACACGACGGTTGTCTCAAAAATGTATTAAAAATACTAGTGGGTTTTAAAAGTAGCATACCTAAACGTTACATATCCGTGGGCATTATTTAATTATTTTGTTGCATTTAAGGTGTTCAATAAAGATTTAGACACTTAAAAAATTCTAGCGTGGTACCAAAGATCTAGATTGATTTTAAACTCATTCTCTATTATTGCTAGTTAATTTTAATGTTCATACCGATATGAAAAACCCCCTGTAGATATTCTAAAAGCTAATCGACCCCCTATTGAAAATTTTAAATGTATAGAAACATATTTTTATATAGTACTTGTAAATATATGTATAGTTAGGCAGGTAATTTAGAAACACCATAGAATTTTCAGTATAACTATTTTAGATGAGAGGATATGTAATACAATGATTTTATGTTATTTTTCGCACTCTTTATGTTTATGTCAGAAATTTGTTTTATGTTAAGCAGCATGTTAGCGTAATTTTTTAGACCAATTTTGCAATATAGGTAATGCTGTATTATAATGTAAATAGTATTTAAATAAATAAATAATTCATGCAAATGGACCTTTTGATGTGTTGGCTAAAAATGAAATTTGAGAAAAGCTCCATCTCATTTGCTATAGTCTGTAGTGTGGCTAATGCTAAACAATAATACTAAACATGAAATTTATATGATGATCGACAGCAAAACAAACGAACGCAAATTATTAAAACTATGATACGAAAACTTTTTAGGTAGGTACTATAATGAACAACATATAATAAAAAACATATAGGTACTTACCTACTGCCTATTTATACTCTTCGAACTTGTATTTTCACGATTTCACAAGTAATTACAAAGTTTTTCATTAAACACGCGTTGTAAAAATTTCACTTCCATTAAAAACAATTGAAACTTGAAAGCCAGCGACACCTACCTTTGTACCGGGTAACTACATGACAACCAAGATTTAAAAAAGAAATTTTGAGTAGAAGTAGGATTTTTGGCAACCCCAACCACAATTGTTGGTTACCGCCTATACCTTAAATTTTCTTGTGTTAGGAGTTTAGTGTTAGCGACTTGATAGATCTGACGAAAATTCTTTTGGTTTGGGATAAAGTGTTTTTATCCTCGATAATCACAAAGTACACGTCAAGTTCATGTTTAAATTAAATAGTTATTGTGAAATGTACAGCCACGCTAGTAAACGTATGACTATTATTAAATATCCATTGTTTAAAAAGATAAACTCTTCAATCTGATAGACTAACGTTTGCATTATTAGACAAAGAATTATTAACTCGATTCAAACTATCTCACGGGTACAGTTGCCGGTTTGACAAATTTGGCCAAACCGAGTTAACTTCATTTTGTCGAAAATGTTAAACCGCTGTTAACTGCATCATTTAACCGCGTTAGCAGATTTTTCGCCAAAAAAACTGTCTATAAATGGACCTTAACCTCACTTACGAAATACATCAAAAATGTAGGTCCGACTGATTTCCTAACCTGAATGTTTAGTAGTAGGTCCTTTATTGTATCTTAAGATTATGCTTTAAAATTGATTCCATAAATATGTTTGATTTTCACTTCAGTTCTGATTTAGAAACCTAAATTAATTCAGAATTTTTTTTTATTTGAAAAGAACGCTCTCTTCCCACTGTAGGCATTTTTCTTTATACAGGATTGAAAATAGGTATGTAATTGAAAAGCAAGATATTTCTCCACATTTATTTATATATTACTTTAATATATCAATAAAATTTTAATTTGCATAGAGTAACTATATCAATATAATAAAAATATCTATCAATATATATATTTTAAATTAGTTCACTTATGGTCAAGACCACATAATTGAAATTTAAAAAAATATAAAATTACAAAGATGCTGTGAACTATATAGAATTCTACTGATTCTAACCATAAATAATTGAGCTAAAATTAAGACAATTTTTCAGTTACATGGCCAGACTAGAAGGGAATGTAATTTAAAACATGTCCAACATAACATTTAAAAAATACTAACAAAGGCAATCGTACAACATAAAATTGGCACATATTTAAGGTTATCTTTTTACTAAAAGTCTTAAAACTGTGAATCGAAGAAAATGTAAACAATTAAAACTAAATCTAAATGTTCGTAAAAGCAAATTTGGAGACGTTCAGGAGATTTAAACAAATTAAAATAACTTCATCTTAAAATTAGAATAATTTTTTACTTTGGGTGGCAAAAACACAACCTCAACTCAGCAAATCAGCTCCTAGATATCACACGTCACACGTTTTGGGCATAAATAGGTAACGAAGCTCTTAACAAGCTTTTGCGAAAACAACAAATATTTCCTAAAAATAATGTACAATTTACTAACTATAACTTGCTAATATATATTCAATATAAATCGCTAAAAATACATTTTATATAATCAAATAAATTAACACACCAAAAGCTTTGTGCGACTATATGACTTCTTGGTAGATACTGTGCACGAAAACCTAAAAACCATACGTACTCTGTTACGTTTTGATATGGATACGGGTCTGTTTGATTTTCACTATATCTTTGGTCGTTAAACGAAAAATGTTTCATTAGTGTATCAAAATAAATAAATAAATACCTAACTACTACTTCACAGATCAATTTCCTTTCCTAAATCCCCTTTTTCTAAAAAATCTAGCACCTTCGTCTTTAAAATTTAATAAACGAAAACGAAGTTTCGTTGTGTCCAACAGTAAAAACCATTCGGTAAGTAAAAAATCACACTCATTCTTTAAATTCAGACGCACTCGATGTTTTTGTTGTTTTTATATAAATTAAGTTAAATTTTGCATAAGTTCACAGCGTTTTCGACTTATCTGTACTTCCCCACAAAGTGCGCACTTATTACTCGTATAATAAAGAATGGAAATATTCTTCAAATAAGTCGAAAACTCTGCTGTATATCATATGAATTATAACATGCCAAAAGAAAATAACAGATGGCGCTTGATATTTCTCTTTTATAAAATTGAGTAAATTTTTTCCTTACTAAACGGAGTCGCACAGCCAAAGCAGAGTATCCCTTCCACCGTCCTTTACAGATTGAGAGTGCATAGAAGTTGCTGCCCGGTGGTGGTGATAAGCTTGTTTATTTGGTTGGCGTGCATGGTTTCCTTGCAGATGATGACGTAGGGCTCGTAGTTCTGTATCTCCTTCAGGATGTCCAAATCGTTATCTGTGTAGTCGATAGTATCGCTTTTGCCGGTATCGAGGGTGACGTAGTCATTAGGATTTTCTTTACCGGGAGTGTCCTGGCTGCTGGTGCTGAACCGTTGCGGGAACACTTGGACGAGCTGGTCTAATGTCATGGAAGAAGCCACGTAGGTCAAGATGTCTGGAAACGAAGATGGTTATTTCGGGAACAAAGTGAAAGAATTGATATACCTTTCAGAATTTTTTTGTGGAAGAAGCACACCCTCTTTAACTGTTCGTTTTGAGACAGTCGTAAGATTCTTCTTTGAACGGTCGCTACGAGGAACTTCCACTCGTCTGTTCTGCTAAATCGATCCTAAAGCATTAAATTATATTATTCTCTGTATAAAATTATACAAGGGTTGCAATATTCTATGTATCACTCACTTGCCGATATACAAGGTGATTCACAACTTATGCAAAAAATATTTGGGAATTGATGCGACATGAGAAATGAAATCAATATCTTAAGTATGACATAATTGGCAATACTAATGTTTCCATAAGTTTTTTCCTTATTTTAAAATTTAAAATATGTATATTCATATACAAAAGCCTTAGAGCACCATAGCATTTTTTTATCAAGGAATTTATATGCTCTTTAAAACGCAAGTCAGTATCAAAAATTAAACAGAGATTTTTTTACTGTATTAATGGGTCTATGGGGTGGTTGATCTATATTTAACTGGAAATTTGCATCAATAAATGCTCTTATTGCACGAGAACTAAAACATATAGCATTGCATTTAGCTGCATTTAATTTTAAATTATTTTTAATGAATACTCCTTTAGGGATATCAAATCTGAATTTATTTTACTACAAGTATCGTCGATATTTTTTGGACAAAAAGTAAATGAAAGTTGTGTATCATCGGCATAACAATTCATTTTAGTATATTTCACGCAATTAAACATATCAGCTGTATAAATTAAAAATAGAATTGGTCCGAGAATAGAGCCCTGAGGGACTCCTGAAATAACAGGCAAGGGATTGGAACATTTATCATCAAAAATTACCATTTGACGTCTATTATAGAAATAGGATTTAAAAAAACTAATAGCAGTATTATCAAAACCGTAATATTTTAATTTTGAACAGAGTAAAAGATGATCAAGGGTATCAAATGCCTTTGAATAATCAAGTAAAATTAAAGTTGTAGCATGATGTAATAATGTCATCGGTGATACCTGTTAATAAAGTACTAGTAGTGGTACTATAACCCTTTCGAAAACCTGATTAAAGGTGAGACACGATGCCGTTATACATTACATAACTATATAAATGATTCTGAATAACTTTTTCTAATATTTTAGAGACAGCTGGTATAATTGTAATTGGCCTTAAATCGTTATAATTTTGTGGGTCATATATTTTTTTGCTAATGGCCTAATTATAGACAATTTCCAATCAGTAGGAAAATATCCCGATTCTAAACAACAATTTATTATGTGTAATGTACTTGCTAATCAACGGAATACATAACTGCAACATTTTAGCAGAAATATTATCAGCACCGTAAGCATTAGATTTTAATTTTAATATCAACAAGTTTATATCAGTTATTGTTGCTAATTTAAAGCTAAAATTTATATCGCCCTTAAAGTAGTTTGTATGGTACCAATTTGATAAATTGGTGCAATTATTAGATTGGCTAAATACGGAGGCAAAATTGTTGTTTACCTCATTAGTGAGGAACATCGATAACACGTTTAAATATTCTGAATATTTAAACTTCTTAGAGCATTCCATAGTTTTTTAGTGTTATTTTAATTCTGTATAAAATTTAAATAAGCTGCTTTTTCACAGCGAATCGAATTAATAGTAAATTTACGTTGTTCTATGGAAAATGAATTAGAAACGTATTTTTATTTAAATATTGGTAGTACAGAACAACATCAACGATAAAAAATATATGAAACAACAAACGAATATATTATAATGTTAATATTAAAATAAAGTAAGCCAGCATAAACAAATGTAATTGTAACGAAAAAATTAACATTTTCTATGTATATTGAGATATCACGAAATATTACTTTGAAGTGAAATAAGACCTAAGCGCCACAAGGGCATTTAAGGACTTAACTTAAGTTTTGATCGAAGTTTTGTATAAAAAGATCTGGCCAATGAAAATGCCATCTCCGATTCGAGATTCTGACCACGACAAAAACCATTCTCAAAAAGTGTCATTTCCCTTCTAAAATTATTTTAGTCAATGCATTTGCTTTTGTTGCTGATGACAGTGGTATTATACTTGTAGACATTGCGTTTTCGGGACTTTTGAGGTCTGGAGATCTTTTCTGTGATTCCGGGACCAATTATTTTGGTAAAATCTCGGGATTGGATACCCTAGTGTCCACTGTTTCCTTTATCAATGTTTGCCGCCGCCCAGCTTTATAGATTTTAGTTTTCAATTGAAGCATGCATTATTCAGTGTAGGTGAAAAAAATTTGCTTTAGGATGTTTTACATAACCGCTCTAATTTTAAATGCTAATGTCTATTTTGTACCTTGAAAAACAGATAAATGTGTTTTTGTTTGATTCGCTGTCTAAAAATCCAAAGTTTAACTACTGCTCTTAAGCAAATGTATTTTTTTTTCTGCAGATGACTATAACGTCAATTCTTATTTTATTATCAAGGCAAAGGCACTCTAACGGCTAAATGAAAGGTTAAATGAAATTGTCTTACAATGACTCCTAAAAACTCATGGTAGTTCCATGTGCATAGAATATTGGGACACTATATAAAAATGACATGGCGTAATCTATTTTGATATGAAACAAATACCAACCTTTCCGAACTGTAGTAGACACTGAGGACAGGCATCTATCAAAAGCAAAACGGCATCGTTGGTCCCCATAGTGATCGACTGCAGACTTTCGTTCCCTCTCAACCCCTCGTTTACGGACAAAAACCCGTTTACTTCGGCAATAACCTGTTTCGGGATCACCTGGCTGCATAAAAGGGCCTGTAACTTCTTCAGGATCAAATCTGCTTCTTCGTTTGGCTGATGAACCTCCTTCAAGGGGTAGTTTTCGATGCAGGCCTGATACAGTTTCGAAAGTATCTCTATTTGGAAGGGGGGCATCCTGTCCAGATACTCGTAACGGAAATTTGAAAACAAGTACGATCCGACAGGTTTCTTGATCTGTTCCTCAAAATACGTTTTATTTATCTGATTGTAACCTAGTTTTTCTTGTTCTTTGTCTTTTCCTATGTCGTCGTTTTCGTCCTCCAGGAACTTGTCAGTTTTCTTATTCGAACTGGAAAAAAACTACATAAATCCAATACAATTTATAAAACGAACATCCTTACTCGCCATTTTTTCCTTCCTTCTGGTTTTGCTGCTCTTTCAACTGAAGTATCTGCAACTGAGAAAGGTAGGATCGCACCAACAACTTCATGGCTTCACTGGCGCCTCGTTCGTAGATTATTTTGGTCAAATCGATGTTTTCTGGCTTGGAGAAGTACTGTTCGAAGTACATTTCCAGAGTTTTCTGCAAAACCAGGCTTGCCAAGTTGCTGTCGTTGCCTATACTCGACGGCAAGTACTCCAAAAAGACCTGAGGAATGAAAAATAAAAGAAATATGATAAAATTAAGAATTAGTTTCCCACTTTTACCTTTATGATTTTGTTGAGGTTAATTACTTTCTTGTCCATGATGAGACTGACAAAGAGGAACGATAGGAGCTCGGGGCAAACACTTATCAACAAGACGGTTAGTTCGGAAAATGTTGTGACACCTTTGTTCTTGTTTTGCAGAGAATAGGTGGTCTCGAAGAGCAATTCGCAATTTTCCAGCAGCAAACTGCACAAGCTGTCTTTAGTAATTTTCTCCAGGTATTCCTGAGCGCTGTTCATATTACACTTTTGAATACACAAAATCGTCAACGCCAGATATTTCTCTGCTGGTTTGGAGAACGTACTGCAAACGAAAAACATGAATTGTAGAAATGATATTCAAGTAATACACTTACTCTGAGATTTTCTCTGTTAAAATACAGATGAGTTTGTCTGTCGAGTATTCCCGGATTATTTTGCTTTTCAGTATTAAGTTCGGCAGATCTTCGTACCCGTGATTCTCTAGTAAATCCAGAATAGAATCGGAAAAATTCTGCTTTGAGCTCGACCCGAAAAACTTGTCTACGTCCATACCGGATTTCATTTCCAAAAGTGTTTTCTTCAGATAGTAGATCAAACCCCTGGTATTCTGAACAAAAGAGAGATTAAACGGGTTCACATCAGGATACAGATATGTTTTACCTGGTTGTTCGACTGTTCCTGAACTTTTTTTACCCTTTTCAGAACTTCAAAAGGCATTACTCTTGCCATTTTATAATAAGGAATAGCCAGACGGTACTCGTCTTCATTGTAACACCTACAGATATCACATATAAGTTTTCCACTACGAAGATGAATCTTAACTTACATTATATAGTGGTCGCCTAGGAGTGCGCAGGATGTCCTGTATGTCTCTATCACATCCTCATTATTACGTTTCGCTTGAATTATAAGTTTAACGTTATCGTCGGTCATCGTCCACTTCTTCAGAAGTAGCGCCATGCGGAGCACCATGTGGGCCTCGCTTAACAAATGACAATACGTCAAAGCGGAAGTAAAGCGATGCACGTTGGCCACAATAGAAATATCGTTGAAGACCGTCTTAGGCGAGGGCAGTTCCAAGTTGTATAACGTGAAGAACGACGCATTGGAACTACGCAAAACTTGAAAATTTATATAAAATCACAGCTTAAAGTGCGATTAACGTACCTGCTGTTTGAACTGACAGAGTGAGTAGGTGAAGTTTCTGAATTAGCCAACAAAACTAAATAGTTTTCCGCTATTAACAGTTGCTCCACTCCGAGGAACGGCCTTAAGCCCACTAGACATATGGAATCACTTATCGGAGGACAAGCCTTAAAACGAAATGATTATAATAGCACGTCATGCGTTAGCATGGTGATTTACCAAATTCACGTTATCCACAATTTCAAAGTTGCGGCACAACTGATGCCCGATTCTCAGAGTGTACGATTCTAAACCGGTTTCAGTCAGTGCATGCAAAAAGTAATCCTCCATAACCAATTTGAAAACGGGTGCCGTGAAGGGGTATATCGCAATGCAGTTGTCTTTGTCAACACCTGGATCTGAAACAGTAAGTGATAAAATTAAATTTAACTGTAATACCGTTCGTATTTTACCTCTATCATCGAAGTAATACAAATATCCTTCCTGTTGAGTAGCAATGACACAGGCCACGCTATTTAAGCATTTCCTATAGTCGCTCCTTAAGAATCTATTATCACATTCGACCGCCAATTTGTTCAGGTTCTGATCGATATACAACGGTTTCAGTATCATGCTCTTAAATTCTTCCGCTACTTGCCTTTGAGCATTTTCTATCATAATCGGAACCAGTTTGAGTTGTATTAGATTCTGGATTGTATAAATTTGCGTTTTGTTCTGAAAAATATGATATTTTACGACCATTTTGATATTTTTTTGGCACTTACATCTACTGTAGTGGCAGACCGAATCGTAGCTACCATCTCCTTGTCACTGAACGTAAACGGGCTGTTTTTATGAACCATACTGTTCTCTTTCACTATCGTTGGCAGATTAACCGTTATTTTTTCCTTGGTTGTATTCAACATTTCATCACGCAATAATTTTTTGTAGTCTATAGGCCCACTACCTGAATCTAAATAATGAAATAATGTTTTTAATTTAAATTTTGTATAACATTCAAAACACTTACAAATAAAATTAAATTCATTGTCGTTATTTGTACTAGATTCATTGGTGGATTCCCTGGAGTTAAACTGTGAAATCTTAAATAAATGCATGCTGTCTCTGTTGATACATGCTATATAATTCTCGCACAATGCTACTTGTGTAGGATTAAACGATACTTCGATCATAAGGGGTAACTCTTCAAAGTCGATGAACTTCAATTTGGAAATATCGTGGGTCCTCACTTGGAATGCGTACAAGTTTATGATTTTCTTCGCTAATATCAACAGATTACCAGAAATCTAAAAAGATGCTGCATCGTTGCACTTTCTACAATAAAATCATAAACATTTTCAAGTACCTGACAGCATTCTATAAGATTCGGATTTCTCTTAATGGGAATTTCGATCATCTCTAAACTGCCCAATTCGGATTGGTTAGTTGTCGGAGTAACACGTCCAGCGATTCTAGCACGCATGGGTTGAACCATACCACACTCAGAGGATCCTAGGCTAATGCCGCTACTAGTCATTTTCGATTGCTGTAGTGTTGCTATACTATCCCAATTAATATAAACCCTTACAAAATTAGTTTCTTTGTTCTGACGATTGAATTTTGTCTCTAAAGTAGCGACATAGTCACCTAAAAAGCATAGAGTGAGAACAAAAAAGCAGGATGTTGTAGAGATTTACCATTTAAGCAGTGCACTATTTGTATGACTTCGTCTACAGTTGGAAACGAAAACAGCACATCTGATTCATTGCTTAAATCTCTCACTTCGACACAGTTGCTTGTTAAAGCTAAAAGCAATCTGTTTGGGGGTGCTACAGTACAGGCAGTGGGCTGCTCCACAGTTTGCACATTTTGGCTGGCAAAATGATGCACTGAGATCACACGAACCATTATATCAAGTTATTCAATGTACATTTAATATACCATTTACTTTGTGGTGTGGCACACGAATTCATTAATTAGTTATATTACCAGGTATTAAGCGCATTTTAAGGGTGTGTTGCCCTAGATATCTGAAGGGTTTGTTTAAAAATAGGAAGGTCCAAACAAAATTATTGATTTCAAGAGATGTGTTAACCTAATTTGTAAAACCGCATCAAAAGAGTAACTAATCAGTGTCTTTTTAAGTCTGACAGCACATAAACATTGGTTATTTGACAATTAATACGAATATTTTAGTTTTTAGATAAATGAACTTTTCAACTATTTTTTTTTCAGAAAAATAGATCCCCAATATTTATTTTCGCTGACACTGATGTTTATTACTTGACTCTTTGACTTCTTGACACTATTGACAAATGACTAGTGTCATTCTTTTCAAAATAATTTTGTTTATTTCTGTCATGTGGCGGCATCTGATGATGATTTTCTAAATTTAACTGTGGAGAACTTTTGACCTACTGGTAAGTACACCTACTTGTCGCTAGGGGGATTAATACGTAATTTTCTCCGTATTTATCCATTTACCTGTAAATCATTTATCCCACTTCTTATTAAAGTAAGGTGACCCTAATTTTAATTGTTTAAAATTAGAAGAGTTCGCACAACAGCGTCGCGATAATAGTTTGTTAAAAATACAGTTTATTATTCGTTCGTTTCCGTCACTGGTCGATGTTGCCCGATAAGTAATCAATGAAGGTGTGTGTCTTCACAATTTACATTTGATATGATCCTTTGAGGAATTAATTAGTGCGTTTTTAAACGGTTTGGTAAATAGTCGTAATACAGAAAATACGATAACGATCTCGAGACGAACTTAAAAGAAATATGGTAAACATCTTATAGGAACGAACGTAATTCCTATAGTGCAAAAAAATTAACTGTCAAAATGAGCAGTTCTTCCAAGTTAAAAAAGAAACACTTCCGTGTGAAGCACCAGAAAGTGAAGCTATTCAGGGCCAACGAGCCCTTCTTGTCTGTTTTCATGTGGGGCATCAACCACACTGTAAGTACTGTTACCAATTTTCAACATAAAGTTTAGAGAATATTTTGCAGATAAATGAACTGATGCACGTTACAATACCGGTGATGCTGCTGCCGGATGACTTTAGGGCCTATTCGAAAATAAAAATTGACAACCATCTCTTCAACAAGTAAGTGACTTGACAAAATAGTGGTACCGATTGTGATGTTTTATTTTGTAGGGAGAATATGCCTTCTCATTTCAAAGTGAAGGAATACTGCCCTATGGTCTTTAGGAATATCAGAGAACGCTTTGGAATCGATGATCTCGACTATAAAGAGTCGTTGACAAGGTAAGGAAACAACCGTGGTTTTTTTGTAATTGTCCACACCTTTCCCGTGAGCTAGTTAGTAATTATGAATATTTTTTATGGTGCTGGAATAATTTAGAATAAATTATAAAGTGATATAAATCCGATTTAATATGGTAGTAAAACAATTGTTTTTATGCAGTGGGTAAATCGTTTAAAAATAGTATCGGTAAACCTAGGGTAAAGTTAAGTATGTGAGTCATGCTTTTTCTAATTAAAAATTACAACACAATGCACTGTGCTATATAAATTATAGTTGATGTGATATATTTAATGAAAACTGATAAGATTTTATTTACTTTGTAAATTTAACGGAAGAATGCTTTCTCAAGTGTTTAAGTACTTAATATTTATGTTTGCAATTTTTTGATATCTATCGCAAATAGATGGATTATGTGCTTATGAATAACCTGCTCGAGTAGTATTTCCATACAAATGTTTATTATTAGATCTGCACTCATAAAAACTGTGTTTTTAATGAAGGAAATTGCAAAACATTGCACTTTTAGTTTGCGACGGAAATCTTTTTTACAAGAACTAATATAAAAATAACAAAATTGACACATTTTTAGGTCCCAGCCTTTACCCGATGATTCTTCTGGCAAAAGTGGAGCTAAGTTCTACTTAAGCTATGACAGAATATTCATAATCAAGACTCTTACCTCAGAGGAAGTAGAGAGGATGCACTCGTTCTTAAAACACTATCACCCGGTAATATTCCTTCGATTTTTTAACGAGAAGGGCGTTGTTAACTTGTACATGTTTCCAGTACATTGTGGAGAGACACGGCAAGACCCTCCTCCCCCAGTATCTCGGCATGTACCGGCTGACTGTCGACAATGTCGAACACTACATTTGCGTCATGAGGAATGTTTTCTCGAATCACCTTAGCACGCACAGGAAGTTTGATCTGAAAGGCTCCACCGTCGATAGGGAAGCCTCCGAGAAAGAAAGGGAAAAGGAGCTGCCCACTTTGAAGGATAACGATTTCGTAAACGAACAAATGAAGGTCCGTGAAACGATATTTAAGCAGTTTTACAAAATTTTCAATGTTTTTTTTTTTGCACAGGTTTACATTGGAGAGGAAGCAAAGCAAAAACTCATGGAAACTTTGACGGCTGACGTCGACTTTCTGACAAAACTGCACTTGATGGATTACAGCCTGCTGTTAGGTAAGTTTTTAACTACTGCCAACCTAAGAAAGTTTTACAGAGCCTGCTGTGTGTGATCATAAGCCGTGAAACGGTTGTTATTCATTTGTTTTTGTTTCCAGACACTCCTGCAGTGCCGTCTAGGAGGGTCGAGGGCTATTTCAGGCACAAAATAAGAGCAATCATACATTTTTGAGTCTGTTGGGGTGTATTTTGTTTTTTTTTTTTTGTCGGAGAGGAATTAAGTATCTTTTTTTGAGCGTGTCTTATGGCATTGTAACCCAAACAGCTAAATGTGATTCAAGAAGGGATTTTTTTTGTGACAGTTTGGAATTAACTGAATTTCTTGGCTGACGTTTTATCTGCGCTTATAAATATTTACGCTACATATATTTAAGATAATAGATAAGAATGTACTATAAGGATTTTCTTATCGATTATTTTAAATAAACGAAAGATTATCCAAAATGATTGGAATACTTTGTTTTCGTTTATAACCTCCCCCTCCCAAAACAGATTTACAGATTTATCGAAGCGATCTACCAAACATCTTTTGTTTGTAGGCATCCACGAAGTGGAGAGGGGCGAGCAGGAGATGCAGCGGGAACGCGAACTGGAAGCTGAGAACCCTCAAGACTCCGACGAGAGCGAGTCCGGTTCCGGCCTGGAGAACAGGACGTTGGGGTTCAACACGCCTCCGGACTCGCCCAACGCAGTGGCGCAGTTCCTGCGAGAGCACAGCCTACAATATGAAGGTAAATTTAGCACAATTTGCCAGTTTGTAGATTTAGTGACAGGTGAGCTCCATTAGAATACAGATAGTTTGTGTTTAGGGAAGCTTCGCAGGCCAATCGGGTGATCGTTTTCACTGAATGTGCTTTACAGGTCATTAATGCTAGTCCGACTGCTTCGGGGCCTATAAACTGGGCCTTGAAGCGCACCGCAAAAATTTGTAGCTGGTTTTGTTCTGTTTTGTGACTAAAAATTAGTTTTTCTGCTTTGCAGGGTGTTTTATCAAATTTTTACCAAAACAATTCCCAGATATTTCCTTTGCAGGTTTATTAATTGTGAATTCAAAATTTTCGACCACATTTTTTTTTTTTGATCGACCACAAGTTTTTTGTCACTAAATGGGAGACATTTTTATTTATGGATTTTAAAAAACAAATTCTAGTAACTTGTCTGAATACCAAATAAGTGTAAACTCTACGGAATTTTTGGTTTACGTTCAGTCAAAATTTAATCCGATTTTTGAAAAATATGTGAATATTTGAGTAATAACAGAGAAAATATTGTTTTACCTGGTCAAATTATTAGGAATTTCTGGGAAAAAATTTTTAACTGCATTTACAGGATGACTTTAGAGCTCTTTCACATTATCTGTTTTTTTAACGGATCGGTAAACTGACAGACCGGAGAAATTATCAGATACTGTAGAAACAGACTGAGTTGTATTTGAGCATTCACACTTATTGACGTCCGTAAAAAAATTGGTGCAATACCGGTGCACTAACGGATAGGTTTCTAGTCGTTCGTTACCGGACCGACGAAAACAACGGATTGTTTATTAAAAACACATGAAGGCTAATGGACTTGTTCAGACTTGCCCGTATTACTTTGTTCCGATAGGAAATTTATATGCAATTTGCTACAGCCGTTCAATTCAGTGTTGTTCCTGTCAGTACAAATGTACTGAAATCGCCGAATTGCTTTCCTCATCAGCGTATTTTGTCGAGCTATGTATGGCTCCATTCGTTGCAATAAATCCTCAAATGTTGAAATTGTCATCCGGAAGTTATTGAAAAATTTTTGTCCATTGGCCAATAAACAAGGATATAAGGTATTGAAAGCGCCCACTTCATTCCTTTGCAAATTTATTGGATGCACCCAAAATCTTCTGGGGCGACACTTCTTGCGCCTTTATCGACGGTAAATCACATGATTATTAATTTCTTGCGTTCTTCTTTCATAGTGTAGTCGACTGCTCACTACAACTGTTCAACTAGATCTAAACAAATTTACTGCAAACGTATGAATGCTTATACCTTGCGCGACCGGCAATTTCACCTGTCCGTCTGTTTACCGGTCCGTTAAAAAAAACGGATAATGTGAAAGAGCTCTTATTTAGTAACGAAAACTTTATTTCACTCAAAATAAATGTATGATGATAAAGTTTGGATGATAATGTACATATTTAATTTTACCAATTAGTAATTACAGGGTGTCCCGAAATTAGGGGGCAATATTTCTACAGGGTGTTCTATGTCGAAAAATATTACTTTTTCTTTATATAAATGTGAATCCAAATATTCTTCCTAAGGAAGTTATAGTCACTTAAAGGGGTCAATTTGATTATGGTTTTTTCTAAATAACTCCGAAACCAGTTGAGATAAATTTATAAAATTTGGTAGCTAACTTAACTCTTACGTGCTCAGTCCGCTACTAAAACGAAATTTACAAATTTTAATCTCATACGTTCCAACACAGGAGGAGGGGGTAAAATTTATCATAACTTTTTTTATGCGTCGATTTTTTTGACTGAAAAGTATGAAATTTCATAGTTCATGGTTCATATTGGTAGAATGTTCCATTTTTGTGTAACATTTGTTTAAAATTAATGTTACATGTGGGAATCGAAATTTGCAATATTTTTTATCTTCGCAGGTTTTGAATAGCAAATATGCGTTTGGCATCATTTGCATTGACAGTTCAGTTACTTACTCTTTGTGAATTGTTATCAGTTGAAAATATTATACGAATGTAGAGCTAGCAGATATTATTAATACCCATTTCCCGTCAGACGAAAATCCACGAGCAATACGGCGCACAAATTTCCAAAATAGATTTGCAATAAATGTGTGGACAGGGACGGGGGACCAGCCACTTGGACCAATTCAGTTTCCCGTTTGTCTGAATGCAGAAGGATACTTAAACTTTCTGCAAAATGATGTAAGAGAACTATTGGATGATACACCGTTAAACGGACGCTTAACATTACACTATCAAGATGGGGCACCACCTCACTTTACCCATAATCTCATAAATTGGTTAAACAATAATTTTCCTGGCAGGTAGATAGGTAGAGGTGGACCCATTCCATGGCCACCTCGGTGTCTAGACCTAAATCCTCTCGATTACTTTCTGTGGGGTAGGATGAAGGCTGTAGTTTATGCTACAGAAATAAATCCTTTGGAAGAATTACAATAGAGGATTCATTTATTTGGCAGCAAATCAAATAAGACAAAATAATTTTGAATTTTTGAGTTCTCGGGCAATTCGACGTCGAGCTGAAAAATGTATTCAGCAAAATGGAAATATGTGAGCATTTGCTATAAAAATTACTATTGAGATAAAGATAAGTTTTATTAGTAGTGTGGTTTTCAATTATTTTTATTAGTTTATTGTATTTAATAATTTCTAATTTCAATTGTTTTTTTTTTACTTTGTCAAACAATAATTTACTAAAAATAATAAATTTCTATGAAAATAACAATTCACAAAAAGTAAATAACTGAAATGTCAATGCAATAACATCAAACGCATTTTTGTTATTCAAAATCTGTGACGATAAAAAATATTGACAATTTCGATCCTCGGAGATTAAGACATGTAACATTATTTTTAAACGGATTTTACACAAAAATTGAACATTCTACTAATATGAACCAAGGGTACCTATTTTTCATAAAAAACTATGAAATTTCATACTTATCAGTCAAAAGTTAAAAAAGTCAATGCATAAAAAAGTTAAGGTAAATTTTGTTTTAGTAGCGGACTGAGCACATAAAGAGTTAAGCTAGTTACCAAATTTTATAAATTTATCTCGACTGGTTTCGGAGTTATTTAGAAAAAAACCATCATCAGAGTAGTCCCTTTAAGTGGTTATAACTTCCTTAGGAAGAATTTTTGGACCCACTTTTATATAAATAAAAAGTAATCTTTTTCGACACAGAAATATTGCCCCCTAATTTCGGGAAACCCTGTATGTGAACTTAGATTTAAACTGATTTAATTAATTTAATTAACCAACAAACATACGACGCATCAAGACGAATCAAAGTGCCTCAGTAATAAATTTACTTTTCAGAAACGTAACATTCAGTAGCAGCATCCCGTAAATAAAGACAGAATACTATTGGAATTTTAATAATTCCATGAAACGTCCTTGATATTTCCCTATCATTTCCGAATCTATAAATTTTTCCGATAATTCCTAGTCTTCCAGATTGGTATACACCCTGGCTTTATTATTATAACAAATATTATGAAATCTTTACATGCTAAGTGCATTTAAGAAACCAGAATAGACTCTTGCAAAATGTGATTGTGTCGAGCATTATTGGCAAGTTCGTTTGAACCCACGTTTAAAAAAATTGTGTACAACTCGTGGTGATCTCTCTTTCCAGGGGGCATCATCCCGGAGCTGGACATATACGCGATCCCGAGCTGCGATCACGCACCCGTCAAGGAGATCTACTTCATAGCCATCATAGACGTCCTGACGCACTACGGGGTGAAAAAGCAGGCCGCCAAGGCGGCGAAGACCGTCAAGTACGGCTCGAACGTAGACGGCATAAGTACCTGCGACCCGGAGCAGTACGCGAGGCGGTTCCTGGATTTCATGTCGAAGGCGATCGAGTAGAGCGTCGGAGACGGCAGCGACTGGCCATTTAATTTAGTTTGTGTGGACGGGGTGTTTTTTCGTGTGTTCTTTGGGGCGACGCAGCTATTTACCTTTTAAGGCGAGTCCAGCGGAGGGTTGGTAGTTTGCTGAATATTTTTGCGGACCGTATTTTTCTAGTCGGCAAAGTAGGTAGTTGTTATTCGATTTAGGAAGCCAGCGGAAGGCAGGGCAGTCCGGGTTCGAAACTCCCCTCGAGGGCAGTTCGGGAAATATTCAGCAAAGTGCTTTAAATTTCGTGTATTTTATTCAGAGTATTCTAAATGTCCCTTTATTTAATAAAAATAAGTTAGTTAATCAGAATCATTTTATTACTGTATATAATCCTAACAAGTTTTTAGATATGTATATAAGAATAATTGTGATGTATTTTATATTTAAGTTTTTTTATCATTATTTTTAGATCTATACATATTCTGTACGTTATTTCCTTTATTTTTTGTTACATTAACGTTCATTTATATAAATGTGTTTCAAATACAAAGAATTTTTTCATTTTACATTTCAGGTTAACGATTTTCCTTTCCTATTTTTATTTCGTTTTCATCTTTTATAAATGTTAAACAAAATGAGGGTAAAACATTGATGGTGCGAAAAATTTATGTGTATCGTATAAAACATTAGTGTTCTTTCAGTTTTTTAGGTAAAATTGTTACAATTCCCTGTTCTTAAAGAGTTTTTGCTGGAATAAACCGCACTTTCGAAGGCAAAAGTAAAACAGTATTTGTCTTTTAAAAGCGTTAAGATCGTTTCTTGGGATGTAATCATTCGAAAAAGTCTTCCGATAGGATTTACATGAAAATTGTATCTAAAGTCAAATTTTTTCCTCAAATAAATATAATTTTGCATACAGTCCAAGTAAAGGAAACCATCTTAACCAACTTCAAACTAGTCTAGCTTTGAAATTTTAATCTATAGTTGTAAGAGTAATGGACAAACGAATACTTTCGTGCAGTCGTCGACAAGACACGGAAGTCTTCGTGGGATATTTAAACCATTTTTTTGTACTTTTTATATAAATTTTCTACCGTTTTAAAGGTCGATAAACCAATTTTGAGTTATGCATGGCAGTTACGCGAAAATATTTAAACAGATGGTCTTGGTTTACGAGGTTTTCATCAGAAAGTGTGTTCAGGAGCGGTTTTTAATCAATTTCATGCCTGTTTTTACAGAAAAAATTGAGTAAGCAAATAAGAGAACGAAAATAGAAAAAAATTTACAAAGAACCGATGGGAAATTGTAAATTATGCTATAGAAATAAAATAATCTAGCTCAGTCAATTCACTGTGTGGGCAAATACAATTTCAGTTTCACTGGTGCACGTTCGTCCGAAACACTTTCTGCGACAACCTTTAAAAAAGTACTTGGCATTACATTTTCGAAGCTGTCTCCGTCTTCAAAAATGTAGCCAGTGATCGCTTAGCAAATAAAAGGGTAATGCTATTTGATATTCACTTCACCTCTCACTTTGTTTTTATGACAGTTCGCTACAAACTTATCGAAAAAGAACTATACTTGTTTGATTTTTTATGATAAATAAAGCTTCTATAGGTTACATACATGTTTCTTTAAATAACCCTAAATGCCTATACCGTAGTTTTTATATTATCAATGTGTTTCATATGGATTCTAGATGGCGCTATTAGTCTTGCTGTGTTCATTTTATAGGCGAGCGGTTCACTCCTATAAAAAAGGCATGAACCAACTAAATTTTTAAAACAAAAACCTACAGCATGAAACTTTTTTTATTTTATAAATTGTATATTTCTGATAATTTACATATTTTTTTATATATTTCGGCGTGGTCAGTCAATTGTTATAAACAAAAAAGTTGTAAAAAAAATTACTCCGAATGGCTTTAAAATTTTTAATTGTAAAATGGACCATAATAAACACTTTTGATTTTAATTCTAAAAAAAGCATAATAATCGGCAGATTTTCTACTTTAAGATATATTTTTTTGTTATGGGTCAATCAATTTATTGAGTCTAAAGCGAGTAAAAAAAGACTTACAGAAAATTATGATAACACTTCAAATTAATTTTTTTTTTTTACAATATCTTGGATTAGATTATATTTACAATAAACATTATGATTTTTTTTTAATCGATATATGTTAACAGTACAAATGTTCAAAAGATCATTTTGTTTGGTTTTGTAGCGGGAGTAAGGTTTTTGCAAGTTGAAAGTTATACCAAAACTAAACTAAATAAGCTTTTTAAATCGTAAAATTAACCTAATAATAATTGACCTAGCGGTTTCGAAAAATAAAAAAGTTATTGGATAATTTATTGTATAAGATAATTATTTTATTTTTATTCTGCAAAAATATTAGAGCAATAAAATTATATTAATTTCTTCTTTATTTAATTTTTAAATGATAGGTTTTTCGTTTTGAAATAAGCGTTTCATTATCATGATTTTCTTTAAGACTGTTTTTTTACTCGCTTTAGATTTTCAATAAAATAATTGACCTATACCAAAAAAATATATCTTAAAGTAGAAGATCTGCCAATTATTATACTCTTACTATTATATTAGAATTAAACTCTGTTCAGTAGTTTTTGAGAAAAAAATTCCGAAAGTTTGTCGATTTCGTCACTTTTTTCGCATTAAATTGTAAATATCTCGGAAACGTATAAAGTATTTTTCGAATTTTTGTAAAAGAACAAAAAAGTGTTTCATTTTGATCCATTTTACATTAAAAAACTGTTTTTAAAGCCATTCGACGAGTAATTTCTTTTTTACAACTTTTTTGTTTATAACAATTGACTGACCACGCCCAAAAATATAAAAAATATATGTAAATTATCAGAAAAATACACTTTATAAAATAAAAAAGTTTCATGCTGTAGGTTTTTGTTTAAAAAATGTAGCAGTTACCTTCATTTAGGAGCATCTTTTTAGGGGTGAGCCGCTCGCCTATTACGAAATCAGATGAAAAACACGTACGATTGGAAAATTATTTATTTTATGTACAATACTTACGATATTTTACAATTACTTAATTCTAAAATATAAATTAGCTACGAATTCACTGAAAATCCAAAAATCACAAGACTAAAGTAACTTAATTGTAATCGATTAACAAAAAGAATACCTGAATACAAAAAATTCAGTCAATGAGTAGTTGTACTTATAAAATACAAAAATACATGTCTCTACTCAACCAAAACGAACATGTATACGAAATCTTACAAGACATACCGTAATAAAATCACTTTTTGGTTTATACAAAGCTATTTATAATGTTACTTACAACCTAATATTTACAGGACACTTTCGTCTGAAAACAAATTAATAAACATTTTAAAAAATCTTTAAAAACCAATAAAAATCTTACCTGCATTAATCGGTATATACGATGTACTCTGGATCTGCAACCTCAACTTGGACAAAAGGCGGTTGTGTCATTTGTATACTGTTTATCGCGTGTCGTTGCATATTATTATTCCTAGATCTGGAATGTAATGGCACTTAGAAAAATACAACTTTCACATGGAAAAATGTACTCACTTTGCCTTGGCGTGTGTCAAAATATGACTTTTAAGGTTAGTGGACTGAGCAAACTTCTTATTGCACCCGTCAAACGGACAAACGTAGGGTCGATCTCCTGTATGTATTCTCACATGCGTCCTAGAAAAGCGTATATTAAGCTTTTGAAGAATGAACATAGAATTTTACTACCTTAAATTAAAATCTAAACTGAACCTTTTCCCGCACCCCTCAAAGGTGCACTGGAAAGGTTTCTCTCCTGTATGGACAAGCTGATGGCGTTTCAATTTACTAGATTCCACGAATGCTTTTCCACATTCCGCACACACGTGGACCCGGGGCCCATGCGTGTGCAAGTGTTTTCTCATAGCCGAATTATCCCTGAACATTTTATTGCAGCCTTTGTGGGGGCAAGCTTAAAAATAGATCAATTAACAATTTTTTCCATGCAGTTATATATGCAAGGTCTTACCGATGGTCCTATCGGTGTTGTCTTGGTTAGGTCTTCGCACCCTGGGACTCTTCAAACCGGGTCTGGCAAACTCAGCTAGTTGTTTTGGATCCGATAGGTCCAAGCCAGGTATACCATCAGCGGGAATCTTTTTGCCTGTCATGTACTCAGTGTAGTCAGGATCTGGTTCAGGGTTTGAACCCTCATCTTAAACAAAATAAAGATACTTACAGTGCAAAATCAAGGACATATCTCTTAGTTTGGGCCTCTGTCGATTTTCCTCGAGGTTTTGAATGTTTGACAACAATTTAAACACAAGGCGGTAACAATTACGCCAGTTTTGAAATAATACGGGTGGCGACACCTGTTAAACATACCACGAGGTAGGTACACAAAAAGCAGAATGATCTGATACAATTTAATTAAAATAAGTAAAAAATAAGATATATAGGGTATTATATGCTGTTTACTAGAGGTTTTGATATCGAAGCAATAATTTAATGATTAATTAACCTTGGACGGTAAACGGGTACAAAAGTGATAACAAAACACGTCCATTGGGTATCGGCGGACGGGCGCCATGTCTGTCCTCCATAATAAATTCCATCGGCCATTTAAAATATGGCAGAAAATTTAGTGATGGCCGCTGCAAGTCAAAACAAACCGCAGTTTTGCAAAATTTTTCGCGGATGTTTATTTCCCAAGCCAAATAAGTGGGCTAAATTCCGAAATAAGTTGAATAATCAGTGACCTAAGTGACCTTGGCAGCAATAAATCAATTTTGAGAGGAAAATTCCACCGGAGGCATGTCAGAAGTTTGCCGGTCCACTTACCATCGCTAGTCCCGGATGCCCACATAGTTACAGAAAATTCACCCTCCATTGTTTTAATCTGCACTTGTTTCTGTTCCCATTTCCGGGGTTTAGTTTCTACGTGCATGTCGCTGAGGAGAATTTCGTTTTCACGCCGCGCTAGAATACCACGATTTTTCACGGATTTCTTTCGTTTGGACGGCCCGGGCGACGATTCGACGTACAAATCGTTTGAGTCAGGTACAGGAACTTCGTATAAATTCAACGGATCCCCCGAGTCGTCTATGATCTCCTCCTGGGCCTCCAAAATAATATCTCGACCCTCCAGAGATTGCATAGACATCATAGGTTCTCCGCATTCTACGATTGTCTCGCACGTATCGGTCATATCCACGGGTATAGTCTCGATTTCCACGCATTCCTGTATGTCTGGCTGAATTTCCACTTCGCACATGATATTTTGATGGTCCGCCATAACTATGGGTCCTATTTTGTTTATAAAAGATGGTCGAACAAATATGGCCACTCACAACACAACAATGGCGGACACGACGACTGCTTTATGTTCCACACGGACAAAAGTGCAAACTCAAATCGAGTAAAGCCGAACAAATTTCGACGTACGTCCCCGAGGTTATCTTTGTCTTACTCAAGGATAGTTGGATTCTAACGGAAAAACATGTGATGAGTAAAGTTCACTGAAGGAAGCGCCATCTATTCGTAGATAGAGGTGCAAATGCCACTTAAGATCAAATTTCAAACTTGCTTGTGAGATTGTGGTATACATTCTTTTGATGCAAAATAATAATTTCAGATAAACGTACATAAATTAAATTTTACAGCTATTAAAAATTATATGAGAAAATATCAGAAATTTTTACCGAGGTCAGGTCGCAAAAATATTTACTTGGAAGGTAAAACTATACAAAATATTAATATGATCTTTAAATTTATAGGTAAACAATGATTAAAAAAATATTTGGAAATAACAGTAAATGATACAGTTAACTCTATAACGACAAATTGTAACCTTCAGATTTTTCAGCAGAGGGAGTTCCACATAGATGGAAGGAAATATTTTTTTCCCAAATAGGATAGATAAACTCCGCCTTTATTGGGCGGAGTTTGTAAACAAAGAGAACGCACCAAATTAAAAAAAAAACGATTTATGCATCCGATTAGGCATAAGAGTACTAAATAATATTTAGTTACTTTTATGCGATTAGGTTCTCAGATAATACGTATTGTATATACCTTAAATATTCATTAAATTTATCATTTGAAATTGTCAGCTTATCACATAAGAGTAGTTATTCTTATGGCTTATCAGAAATAATATTGTCTGAGCCTAAGAGGCGTATAGTTAGTAGATCTATTCTATTTGGAAAAAACACGGGTAATATAAATTATAAAATCAACGTTTAATTTATAGTAGGTACAGTCATTCGGTAACCTCCGAATTCTTTGAAACTGCTTGGATTTGCAAAATTTAGATAAGGCTCAAGTTCAAAAGTGACATAAGCCCGATTGTTTTTTAGGGGTAAAAACTACCCCCAAGTGAAAAAAATTGAAAAAATTAAAATTTAAGCATTTTATTGAAAAAAATCTTGTTCAAGTGCAAAGATTAAATAATGTTCTATGTTCTCGAACATGTTTGATCTTTTATTCGACCCTTTATTTAACCCTTAAAAACTACCCATATGCAAAAAATGATAAAAAAATACTTTTTAAAAGTTTGAAATGCTTTAACGGTGCAATTATTTAAAATAAAAATTTCCTCATTGCTTATGAAAGAATTTGTATCTCATAACACATTTCAACCCTTATAAATCACCCCTGTACTAAAAAAATAATAAAAAATTACGTTATAAATCTTGGAATGCTATAAATTGTACAATAATTTAAAATAAAAATTCCCTTATATTGTTTATGAAAGATTATTTTACTTTTGCCATTTTCAATTCTTATAAACTACCCTTTTGTACCAATATTAATGTAAAATATTTTTATTATAATCGATTTTTAAATATAATTATGCAATCATAAAAAAATTGCTACGCAGCATATAAATAATCACACTAAATTTTTTTACTTATTTCATTTGTATAATATAATATATAATATATAAAAATGAGAAAGCCTATTTTGCTCCGAAAAAATGTCATTGGTTTTTTTACCATAACTCGGTTAATTTTGAAGCTATAGTATCCTACAAAAAAAGCATTTTAAAAATAATTTCAAGAGCTGTAAGATCGTTTGCATATAAAACCTTTTAAGTCCTTCGATTTTTAAAGGGAAAGGATCGAAGGGCTCGAGACAGGTCATTTTTTCACTTCAAGCGGCGATATCTCCTTTATTTTTCATGCTATAGGAATAAAAAAAGCAAAATATTTGTTGAAAAAAAAGCTACATTTTTGTTGTCTATAATTTTTTACGTAGCTTTCATAGTTTCAGAATTAACTATTACCGTACATTATTCAAAAAATATGCATTCTAAACCGGTCTAACTTCAGGATCGCATGAAAAACACTAAAACAAAACTAATTGTAAAGGGTCTACTATTAATTTTAATCCTGATGGAAATGGTACAGCGTTTACTGCTCATTTCTCCTTAAAAAATATGAGCAACCCATCTGTTTTTGACGATAACTCCTTCAATTTTGCTCCAATTAACTTTTATAAGTGCTCATTTTGAAGGTCTTTTTGAGTACTACAAAAAACTTCTTGTATACGACGTACAACACTTTAAAAAAAAAAACGATTTTCTTTGTTTATTTATAAGCTACATTTTTGTTCATTACACTTAATCGGTAGTTTTTGAGTTATTCGCGAAAAAAACTTTTTTTTTTTTTCACTCAAAATTCCAAATTTTCAAACGTGAATAACTAAAAAACTATTGACTTCTCGAAAAAATTCTTCGAATATTTTTTTGCTCAAAATTCGATTCTCTATCGATTTCTAGCGTTATTTTGAAAAAAAATCCACTCCTGAGAAGGGGTGTCAACCCCCAACAGGGTGGGAGCGTCAATCGGCGCTATGCCACTAATGATCATTGACCTTTCTCTATCTGCCAAATTTCAAGTCGATCGGTTCAGTTTCAAAGAATTCAGAGATGAAAAGCTTCAATGACTGTACTATTAGGAATTATTGCAGCAATAATACAGTGGTTGTATAAAAAACAATATTTATTCCACAATATATACATATTTTGAAATGTACACTGTAAAATAACAATATATGTTGCCCCTCCATTAAACTAAGTATAGTATTATATACACAGCAATTGATTTGAAGACAAACTTAATAAATTGAAATAATATAATGCCACCTTCCAAAACATTCCAATCTTGAAACAAAAATTAAAAAAAATAGATTTATTAAGCAAGGTTTTTGATTTCTTTGATTTGAAAAACAAATTTAAGAATATTTTCATTTCACTGTCAATACCTGAATCTTTTAGCATATAAAATTTGAATAAGCTTTAGTTGCTATAAGGCAATAAAATAAAATATATATAAATACTAATACCCCATGATCGAGCCAGCAATAATTTAATATTGAACATATAATCCATTCGCTTTACCTTTTCACAAATGTCGACCTTGAAAATTTCCATTAAACAATTGAAATCATGACTTGCTTGTTTTTCCGACAGCGACTGGATTATAGCACTAGAGATCCTCATACTTGTGTGCAATTCATTGTAATACTGTTTCAGTCTAATATAAAAATTTCAAAAATATATAAAATCGTTATTCCAGTCAGTATTTGAAGAACTAAAGCCCACAAGTACCGCCATAAAAAAAATGTGTGTAAAATATATATCACATGTACGTATTACATAAACTAAGTGTTTAGTCTTGCCAATTTTTTAAAATTTTATTTGTTGTATCATCATAATCACAAATACCCTCGTTAAAGATCCAAATATTGATATTTTTCTACCGAAAACCTTTCCTCTCTAACGGTATCAATTATGATCACGACAATACAACAGATGTACACTTAAATCGATGAATACTTTAGACTTCCTCTAACACGAAACTAATGGTGATGCCCCAAGGACAACAATAAGGGGCACAGACAGCCCACAACCAAACACAGCAACTCGCTAGTCTTTAACGACTGAGACACAGGAACAGACGGCCTCGCAGTCTCTAGAGACTGGGGCAGCTTGGAGTAGGAATGCGTTTGACCACCGTGAGAGTTTTGTGTGAGCTCGGCCAGCACGTGGACTGTCGCGACGTACAGAAATGTACCGGCAGAGAATAACATAGCAATACCTGAAAAATAGTGGGTTCTGTATGAAACAATGGATAAATTTGCATTGTTGATGCTGTCAAACAGTAGAATCAACTGTTTTGACAGTCACAACCTACTTTATAAAATGTACAAATTAATGAAAATTTTGTAAAATTTTTTACCTGTCGCATTTAAGGAACTCAAGGTCTCCTTCTGCTTCTGCCCTATCCCGAAGTAAGTGATGCACGTCAAGACGGGAGCGGATAGTGAAAAAATCAACAAATGTTTCCTAATTCGTCGTCTGAAAAAGGAAAATTAAACTGATTTCCAAACCTTCAATGTTACTGTTACCTTTCGATACCTTCATGAAGAAGGAAAGTCACCAATCCAAAAGCGGCCGGCGCTTTGTGCAACATTATAGCTAAAAACACTATGATTTCAACGTCGGCATGGCTAGTAGTAGCAGCAGCACCTAAGGCTACGCCATCGGCAGCGGCATGAACCACCAAACCAATCGTTGCGGTAATGTTCCTCTCGGAAGGGCTGAGGTTCTCGTTTCTGCTTTGCGAGATCTAAAAAATGATAACGGTGACATTGATGGAGGACAAAAGATTGCGGAATTTTGCACCTGGTCCACCATGAGCATAAAAATGAAGCCTAAGACGAGGCTTATTCCTATCGCGGACAAGGGATCTTTGTGCTCGTGGATCTCGGATTCATTGTGGGCGGCTTGATGCACCTGTTCGGGGATCAATGACCTAACGCCCTCTGGAATTATTACAGCCAAGGCGGTGCCTACCAGGAGACCTGCTCCAAACACTGTGATCTTCTTCAGTTTGTCCTGAAGGCAAACGAATAAAACCAGTTTGCAAAAAAATTCTAAATGTCAGACAACATTTAAATATGCAAATTTGGAAGTATATTTATTTTTGTCATTTGCGACACCGGTTCTTCTTTCGTGTAGAAGTATGCAAATTTTATTATTTTTTATATGGCTGCTTAAAAAAGAATAACATAAATTATGTGTTAAAACTCCAGTATAACAGCAATAAAGAATATAGCTGCGTATACTCGGAACAAATGCTCTGTGGTTTTCTCACAAGGTTGTTTGTTGCAACAACTCTTAATGTTTAAATGCATGGAATCTTGAAATTAAATTACCAACTGAATAACCAGAAAAGGATTACTCTTTATTTCTCTGAATCTTTCAATATCTGAACGTTGTACAACATATTTGAACATCGGAAATATATGGTGACTTTTAATTTGAAATCCACATAAATTAACATAGACAAGAAAAAAGCAATAAAGGAAAATAAGAGGACTTGTAGTTATTAACTGGTTTACAGCATTTCATTATATTGATAAAGGTTAAATGTGAGTTATTAAAAAAGTATTACATTTAAATGCTATTAGAATATAATTAGTACTAGAAACAGATAAAGTGTAAGGCAGCATATGTTTATATATCAAACGTGCTTATTATGATATTGACTATAGTGTTGTTTCTATAACCGTATACGATAAACATAACATTTTTTTATACAATAATAATAGGAAAGTCTATTTATAGCTTACATTTTGTTCTTATTAATATGCAACCTGTATTTTCACTTTTGCAAACTGCAAAAATATGCAAATACATGTAACACAGCTCATATAAATATAGATATGATTTAAAGCAATAAATTACTTAACTTTTTTTAAGATGTTTACGCACATACAGTGTTGACTATAAATGTCACCTTCTGTTTTTTACCTTATTTTTCAAGATAGAGAAAAGAGGTAACAATAAGAATTTGAAAAATTTTTTGATTTGTTAGGCCTGTGTAACTCAAAGCTTGATTGTTTTTGCAAGATAGACAATAGAAAATTTAAAATATTCACAAAACTGTTACACCTGGTTCATACAAATGTACTACAAAAATCATACAAAAAATATGAATCTTAGAGTAAAATTTAATTACCTCCGACAAGTTAAAACACAGGGGAAATTCACCTCCGAAAAGCGAGCCCAAAAACATAAAAAGAACCAAAGCAAGGAGCATAAATGTCGGTTCCATTGTTGATGGTGAACTGCACTTGACTGAGGTTGCAAGTTGCAAGCCAAACAGTAAAACAAACGTGAGTATTTATCAAAACAAGAATACTAATCACAGGTAGGTATTCCCCACATATGGGTGTTCTGAGAAACAGTATATTACCACAAGAAACAAAGTTATTGGTAAATAATTGTTAATAGAGAATTAATTAACATAAAATCAGGTTTGTAGAATGCTTCGTACAGGGGATTTTTTATTGAATTATTCAAGAATGAAATACCTAAAGTTGCATAAAAAAATGTTGAGTGAAATATAGTGTAAAATGTTTTGTGTGATGCTGTTATGAATTTAAAAATATTTACCTCTGAAAAGCTGAAGAATAGGGGTATGGAACCAGCCAAAAACGACCCCACTAACATAACAAACACTAAACATAACAGCATTGAAGTTTCTTCCATCTTCACAGTGTATTCTTTACGTAATTACCTTTTATTTTTATTAGCTATGTCATCAATATTACATTCTACGTTGGATTTACTTTTAAAATGCATACGTATTACAACAGATAATTTAATGCAAATAGAAACAATTCATCCACGTATTTACCAAAAATACTATGGGCCAAATGACATGTCAAGGATGAAAGCAGTAGAACCCAGCAGAACCAGTCACCGGAATTTTGAAATAGAGAATTTTAGAATTTTTAGGTTTGATATTAACTCTTCAATGTTGGCAACCATCAGGGAGTATATAATCCATATATGTACATATGTCATCATCAATTTAATTAATATATAGAAATAAAATAAAATACAAAAATGGTTTTAAAATATCTTAATTATTATAGACTAGCTTTTATTCAATATAATTCCTAGTGTTACAAATGTTATTTATAATTAAACAATAAACAAATTAAATTATCAAATAGTGAATGGATTATACTTTAAAGTTGAATTAGGTATATTTAATTCTCTAATTTGGCTACAATAGCTCGATGTTTTTGACTTTTATTTTGTTGGTAGCATGTCAATTTGTGTAATAAAAATGGAGTCATTTGATGGATATTTGTAAATAAATAAGGAAAATGAATTTGCAGACGCTTTTCCAAGACTTCAATCCAAGGTAATATATTTTTATTTTTATTTAAGTTTACTAATAATTACACTTACCAATTGTCTTGTTTTAATCTTTCTGTACATAACCTACAACCTGTAGGATTTTTTTTGCTTTTTCTATTTTTAGTACATATAATTAAGTTATGTATTGTAAACATTCCAATTTTTTGTAGCAAGTTTATCGTACATTCTTGTCTGTTGGTATTCACCGCACTCTTTGCCCTACGATTAGATAATTATATTACCTGGTCTTTTTGGACGGTTTTTACACCAATATGGGTCTGGAAGGTACTAGTGATCACAGGCGCCACTGTAGGTAGTTACGTATGGTGGAGGTATCCACACTTTAGGTGAGCAAAACAGTTTAAAGTTTCGTTGATTGTAATTGTACAAACAATCCTTTTTAGGTTAGAAGGTGAGGCGTACATTCACTACAAATCGATGTTAATATCCTTAGCATTGCATCTGATATTGTTGATGTTCGAATTACTCGTTTGTGATAAATTGGAATCGTCTCGACACCTGTGGATTTTAGTATTTATACCCCTAATATTTATATCTATAGTTAGTATCGCCGTATGCATTTGGGCTGTAAAACACGACAGATCATTTGAGGTGATGACTTGTCTTACTACTAACCCGAATTTTATATGTCCGTGTTTGTTTTAGCTCGAATTATTTTGTGCCGTTAATGTGTTACAATTCATATTTCTTGCCTTGAGGTTGGATAGGTTTATCCTGTGGTCCTGGGAGGTTGTATTCGTGCCATTGTGGATCGTAATGTGCCTGTCGTTGGTAAGATTCGATATTTGATTTAAAAAAGCCACCTCACTTCTACGTTTTAGGTCGGCGTGTTATACACAATCATTTTTGCAGCCATTTTGTTAAGGACGCCAGAAGTAAATGCTCAACAAAGGAGGAGCAGTTTCAATTCTGCTCTGGGCTACACGTTTTTAGTGATTCCTATTCTTATATTCCAAGTAAGCACAGGAAAGTCGTTTTAAATGTTTCAGATTGACTTGGCTTGATTTTTTTTAGGTATTGTTGGCCAATAAATTGGACGACGATATTCGGATGACCTATACGGCCGTAGTTAGCCCACTTTTCATTTCATTTATAACCCTAATTTTAATGTCTTTCAGTGCCAAGGGGGGAAATAAATGTAAGTTGTTGTCGTTATCGAAACCGTTCTATATTTGACATTTTTCAGGGTGGTTTGGGATGCGTAAAGATTTCTGTTCGTTTGTACTGGGGGCGTGCCCCCTTCTCCAAGAATATGCCAACATAGCTTACCATTCGGAAAGACGGAACAATGGCGTGGAGTTGGAGCAGCAAATGGAAGCCAACGAGAAACACGTTAAAAGAGCAGACTTGATGAAGCCCGTCTTACCTATAATTTCGATCGAGATGCCCGACTGAGATAATGACTATTGTTTGTATGTGTATTGTCTTTCATTGTACAGTTTCGGAAATAACACGACTGCTGCAACGGATAAAAGGTGGCAGAGTTGTCAAATCTCCAGTTTTGTGATATCCGTGAAGCAAACTAACCTTACAGTTTCGAATAGACTTTTTTTTTGAGTTTGCAATTGAAATCGTCAGCTTTCAGTTAAAAAATAAACCTGGAATCATTTATTTATTTTCTGTTATTGTAGTATGACGTTATTTTGTTTGCCAAGTGCAGAATAAGTAGGGTTAAATATAATTTTTGTGAAACTTGTACTTATTTTGGTTTTCAAATATAAGCAGTATGAAACTTGCGTTTTTTTCGTAATTAAACATCTAATTATTAAAAATGGACGAAGATTGTCGAAAAAATGGACGGTATGAAATTTGGATGAATTTATGAGAGGAAATCAAATAAAATAAAAACAGACTGATTTTTCTACATAGTTTCCTCTTTTTAAAACACAGTTTTGTCATCCAATAAGATTTTTGTGCACCATCATAGAAAAGCATGTCACAGACACCAATTGCGCACGAACGATTCTACATCTCATTTATAAAATGATTACCTCCGAATGTTCCTTTCAAAAGAAAAAAGAAAATGGAAGTCGCAAGATGGCATATCCGAACCGTAAGTTAGATGTTCCAAGGGTATCCAGCGCTTTTGTTCCAAGCATTGTTGTGAAGTAATTCTACTCCGTAAATGGAAATTTTTTGTTTATACGCGAGTCTTACGTCATCGAGAAATAGGCAGTAATAGGCAACATTAATGGTACGTCGCTCGTAAAAAAAATCAATGAGTAATATTCTCCTGTAATCCCAAACGACAATCACGAGAACTTTGTCAGCAGAGACCTTAGTTTTCACCTTCACGGGTGTTCCTCTCCTGGGTTTTCTCAATTCCATGCTTCCCAAATTTTTTCCCCAACCACAGGAAAATTTCTTGTGCCAGTTGTAGAGATAGGTTTTCGATGGTATCTTTTGGAACTATTTCATTAGTCTGTAAAATTTCAGAAGGCTTTACGAATAATGCACTGTTCAATTAACATTATACATCCTACTCTATCATGGCATTACTGATGATGATGACAAAATGGATTGAGTTGTCTTTCCTACTTCTGACACCTTTACGCAACTAATAATGGGAGAGCAAAGCAATGAGATCACCTCATGAGAGTTGGGAAAAGAATTCTAGTTTATGTTGTAATATCCTAATTGCAAGTACATATTTTTCTTATTTACTTTCAAATAGATAAGAAAATGTAAGTATAAAACTGTCACATTATTTATTATATTCTGATGTTAAAATTATAAAATTATTATGTATAAAAAGTTGTTATTGGAATAATTTTTCTCCATACAGGGCAAGTCGAATCCAAAAATACGTGGTAGTATAAAAATAAGGTTTCTCATATAAACTGCTTCCCTTTCTGACTTTGTTTTAACAAAAAATTTCATTTTATTCCTGATTTTATCCTTTGTAAAAACATTCTTCTTCTCCTGTTCTTAGCTTTATTTTAACAAAGATGTACCTCTATTATGTTCTTCATTCTGTTTTCGTTAACCACATTAATTTTTATTACGTTCTTGATAAAAACTTTAATCTTTATTTTGTTCTTCACTAACTTTCTTTTTTATGTTCTTGACCTTATCCTATGTAACTTTGTACGTAATATATTTTTTTTCTTGGCATTGTCTTAGCAAACCATTTCTATTGATTTTGTTTTTGATTCTTGTGAGAGTATAAAAACATTTCTCTTGTCAATAAAAACACATTTATTCCATTATTGATTTTAACTTTATTCTTGTTAAAAACTTTTTGCTTTATTTGTCACCATTATGAAGGGTGCTACTCATATTTAAGTACGTGTTCAAACTTCCATGAGTGATTTTTTATGATTCTAAGACGGAAAGTTTATATAAACGTAGGTCCGGTTATGCTTCATTTTCAAGATACAAGGTGTCAAACTGTTTTTAAAAAATCGTTTTAATCCTTTAGCCGATGTTGTTGAAATTTGGCAGTATTATTTATGGTAGAATAGCGTCCCAAGGGGCCCCTTAACCAATATTTTTGTAAAAAAAAATGTGGGTCACTGACTTTTTAAAAACTTTTATAACTTTTTTCTCCTTAACCAACTAAATATACAACTTTTTTGTCTTGAATTTTCGCAGAAAAAAAAAAATCATTTTATTGCATAACATAAATACAACATAGGTAATAAAAATTAAAACTACCGGACTATCAAAAACTGGGGTTTCTACCATAAATAACTGCCAATTATCAACAAAATCGCCTAAAGGATTATTTGTATCTTGAAAATAAAGCATTTCTGGACTTATGTTTATTATTCCAATTAAATGGGCCTTTAAATCTCAATTTTGGTCTACTTGTCTGAATTTTTGATATAGGTTAGTTTGAGATATATAATAAGTGACAGTAATTTTTTTTCAACCCCCGTCCAGGGGCGAAAAAAGAAAATAAAGGGTTTTTTCAATATTGTAACTCAAAAGGGGTAAGAGCTAGAAAAAAAAGTTTCTTATAAAAGTATAAAAGTAGAGCATAAAATTCTACATAAAAATGGTCTATTGACTTTTTCTTGTACTATTAAAATTAACAGAGTTAGAGAGACTAGAATTTAAAGAATGGTTTCAGAAATTTAACAAATCATAACAAGCAGAAAAATGAACGAATTTTATAATTGTTTTTTCAATCTGCTCTAAAAAATGTAAACTTTCTTTTCGGATAAATATCTAGATGTTTTTTTAATTTTTAATAAAAAAGTTATAACAATTTCAATTTTGTAACCGTTCATTTTTATGATTTAATACTAAAACACCATTTTTCTATGCCGATTGATTGATTATTTAAAATAGTGAGAAGTTGCTTTCGAAATTTTGTTTTACGACAAAGATAAAAAATCACGTTCGCTTTGTGAAATTGTTATAACTTTTTTATTAAAAATTTAAAAATATATCTATTTCTCTGAAACGATAGTTCACATTTTTTAAAGTAGCTTGAAAAAAAAATTATAATTCATTCATTTTTCTGCTTGATTTTTTTAATTTCTGAAATCATCCCTTAACTTCTAGTCCCCTAACTCTGTCAATTTTAATAGTACAAGAAAAAGTCAATAGACCATTTTTATGTAGAATTTTATGCTCTACAACTTTTATAAGAAACTTTTTTTTCTAACTCTTACCCCTTTTCACCCCTGGCCAGGGGTCGAAAAAAAGTGACTGTCACTTATTGTTATTATATACCTCAAACTAACATATCAAAAATTCAGGCAAGTTGACCTAATTGCAATTTAAAGGCCCATTTAATTGGACTATACAGGGTGTTAATGAAGTATGAGAAATAAATTCACAAATATCTTAAATACCTTTTACCCAATTTTGTTGTAATTTGGCAGTAGGGGCCAATTTAACCCTAAATTGACGAAAATTTTTGACAAAAAAATGTGCGTCACTGACTTTTTTAATTTTTATATATTTTTTGAATTAAGAAACTAAAAATATAACATAAAGTACTGCCAAATTACAACAAAATTGGGTAAAGGGTATTTAAGATATTTACGAAATAGCAATTATTTTACACCCTGTATCTTGAAAACGAAGCATCTGTGTACCAATGTTTATATGAATTTTTTGTCTTAAATGCACTCAAATAATTGTCTGTTGAATTTATTGTACATACTTAATTAACACTGTATATAAACTTTTCGTTTTAGAATCACAACTTGAAGTTTGGTCACGTACTTAAATAACACCCTGTATTCTTGACTTTGTTCTCAATAAGATTGTTCATTATTCTGTCCTTGACTTTGTTCCCAATAATGTTTTGTTCTAAAAAACAAAAACAAAACATACTGATTAAGAGAGTGCTATTTATTTGTTTATATTCTGCATTTTGACTTTTCAGCAAAAACCTTCTTGTTTATACGAATTTTGACTTTCTTCCCAGTAAGATCGATTTAAATTCTTTTCTTGATTTGTTTTCATAAAAATTCCTTTTTTTGTTCTCATATAGTAAGTTATTCGTGATATTTTTTTATCTGTTCTATTTTGATTTTTTATTTTGTAACAGCACACATCAATTTTTCGTTTGAATCACTCTTCTGAAACTCGTATTAGCTTTAGAAAACTAATTCCAAGTTTATTTGCAAATTTCCGTAAGCAGAAAACCGTATTTATTTTCATCATTCCTTATAACAACTCAAAATAAAATATGGTGATACTAAAACAATTTATTCTCCTTATACTTATAAATATACACGTTTCTATACACTCTTAATGATAGGTCCAGTATTTACAAAACTTGTGTCGCAACGCTATTTGTAAAATAAATGAAAGCACCCGTCAAATTCACAAAAGTAGCTCCAAGGAAAACGGGCGCCCATCTTCCTCTAGAAATGGTCACCAAAGTGGCTGTAAGCGGTCCACATAGAATGCCAGGGATCGTCGCTATCGTGTTGCTAATAGCGAACGTCGTACCAGCATAATTCGGAGCCACGTCGACGTGATTACTGAGATGCCCTGCTGAGTTGCTAGCCGACAGTCCCATGGATATACTCACGAGGATTAACGCAAAGGCCAAATGGTCAACCACACAGAATATGGCTAGGAATAGTGCGGGGCCGACCAATCCAATACAAGTCATGAGTCTTCTAACATTAAGCACCGACCAGTTCTTCCTTCCTAGCAATCCGTCGGCTACATGGCCACTTATGACTCCGAAAATCGAGTTTACAATGTAGGGCACCGCCGTTAGACTCAAGCTGTGAGCGTTAGCACCCAGATACCTCGACAGGTAAGTCGGAAGCCATTGCATGATGATGTACGAGGACCAGTTCATGGCGAAATGAGCAGTGTATATCACCCACAAGGGTTTGCTGAAAATTAAATCGGCCCATCGGATGTTGTGGGATATCACCTTAGGCATGTGTAGAGGAAGCGATTCTTCGCCATTGTAGGAATCCTCTGGGTAAAAACAGTACCAGAGCAGCACCCACAGGAATCCGAAAGATCCAAACCAGTAGAAACATGCTTCCCAGGATAAATGCGGGCATAAAACGGATGCTACTGTTTGGCCAACAGAACCGGAGGCTAGCAAATACGAAAAGGCCCTTGAACGTTCTTCTACTGGTACGCTATGAGCGAACAAGTGAAATATTGTCGGTAAACCTAAAAGATGAACGTTACAGAAAGATAAAGGGGAATAAGTGAAAATCATTACCTAATCCTTCTGCAAATCCAAGTACTATCCTACAAATAACCAGGGCTGTAATGCTGCTTGCTAATAAGGGGGTTATAAATGTTGCAATACTCCACAAGACCACACTACAGATTAGAACATTTTTGGCTCCTAATTGTGTTGCCCAGAAGCTTCCTGAAAGAGTTTACAGCATTATATATGTGTACAACTAGAAGCTTGCCTATATGTTACCTAAAATTTGACTAGTGAAATAACCAAAGGCGAATGCAGATAATATCCATCCCTGCGAATGTAAACTCCACTCAAACAGATTTGTCATGGGTACGATGGCAATGGGCATGATGACCCTGTCGGCACTGTTTATAAAATTCGCGAAGCTGCATAGCGCCACTATTCTCGAAGTCCTCGTGAACCAACGTATTCTTCCCATTTTCGTGGCGAACTAGTCTAATATTTTCCACATCTACACGTTTTTTTAATATTGCAGCACCTTACAGTCTTGGACAACTGAACATTTAATTCTACTCTCCGTTATCAGTTTCGTTATCTGTTATAAATCACCAGCTATCTACATTTTCGCTTTTTTACGTTCTTTATTTGCACAGCTGGCATGTCAACAATAGCGCCATTTTGAACATGGGGGTTTTTATTATCGACACCCTGAATTTGTTGTCTGTTGGCAAACTGTTGCAGGGTATTCCCATGGAATATTAAATATATGGGTGGCATTCCCCATAGAAATGTAACAATTTACAGATACTAATACCACATAATACGGTTCGTATTTTAAGCTGATTACACCATATGAGTAAGTTACTCAAATGAATTACACTAAAGTTACTCTGGAGTAAATGTCAAACTCATGTACATGTAAACAAAAACCTTCACAGTAGTTCAGCAAATTACTTTTGGCTTTATAAATTATTTGGTGTAAATGTCAAAATGATTTTTTTTACAAAAGTCTTTTATTTTGAAATAAATTACATAGTTTGTAAAAAATGATCTTAATTTATTAACACGAAAATTAAATAAAAACAAATCGACGATCTTTAAGTTTTCTAAAAATTCTTTACATTAACTATTTTAGAATAATCTACGGACAGCATAAGTAAGCGATACATTAAAAACTTGACCTTACTAATTAAGTTAAATAACTATAGTCAAGAGAGTTCAAACAAGAAAATGTTTCAGTCAAATTCCTTCAACAGATCTAAGTAAATGTCCTCACAGCAAATTAAACAAAATGTTTTTGAAGCGTCTTGACTGCAATTATTTAGGGTTTGGACAACTTGAGATGAGGTTTAAGCCGACAGCAATTGCCGTATTTCATTGTTTTCAGCCGATTCTAGGTAAGTCTTTCCGTCAGGGGCAACTCCATCCTTTTTGGCACCGTTTTCTAACAGTAGTTTCACACAGTCTTTGTGACCCTCCCATATTGCCGCCAGAATTGCCGTAATCCCATGCTTGTCTTTGGACTAAAATTCAAAATGACAGTTAAAATATTTAGTGAAAAGTTGTATACCAATTAAAATTTACATTTCAATAAATTTATTCTTATCTAATACAAAAGTGACAATATTATCTAAGAAATGTCTACACATTAATAGAAAGTTAAAGATTATTACTCACGATTTCACACAATTAAAATTTAATAGACATTAATTTGAATTTAAGTGGGCATAGTTTCCATTTCAGAAAACAGAATTAGAAACATTGACGTTCAAATAAAGGAATTTTTGGTAAAACTTACATTTACATCAGCCCCCGCAGAAATCAGGTATTCTATCACATCTGCCTGACCATAATCAGCGGCGTATAAAATTAGAGGACGACCATCCACCTCTTCATTAACATTTACAGACTGAAAATCCAAATGAGTCATGTTATCGTTTTATGAAGGTTTTCCGAGGTTTAGCCGCATTGGATACTCACCTTTTTTTCTACAATATCTTTCACCTGTTCTAAATCACCGTTCTTGATGGCCCATACGAAATCACCACTCATTTTGCCAGGATATTTACTATTTTTTATTAAAAAAATTCCTCTGATCGGCAAAAATTGACAGCTGTCACGGTGATTGGTTTTGGCACACGTGCTACCAACGGTTGTAGGTCCCTCAAAATGCCCTAGCCTGGAATACATTCAATTTTTATCGGTTGGCAGAGCTGAATATTTATTTTCTTTAACCTAACCTCAAAAAATATTAGATATTAAGAAAATTTAAATTGTTTATTTGAAACTTTTACGTGCTTATTTTATATAATGGCATCAGGACTTGATTCGTTCGTAAACCGTATCCTTTTCTTGTACTTGATTGTATTAGTTCGAATTAATTAAATATAACCTTAATCACTTTCACAGATACTGTATCAATAATTACATCTGACGGCAGGAACTTTATTGTAAGAAAATTGGTCTATATTATTACACATTTGTTTTATAACGCACCTCTGTTGTAGGGTACATTGAAAGGTTTTGACCAAACTATAAATATAATCCTTGATGAGTCTCACGAAAGAGTATATTCCACAACAACCGGTGTCGAACAAGTTATGTTAGGGTTACACATAATAAGAGGTGATAATGTGTAAGTACATGTTTTCACTTTCCTCAAAACACTACTTGCTTTTTTTCAATTATTTTTAGAGCCCTCATTGGACTAATCGACGAAGAAATTGATAACAGACTAAATCTATCCAATATCAAAGCAGAACCTTTAAACCCCGTTGTACATTAACAAGCAATAAAAATAGTTTTAAGTGTATAACGTGTTGTTATTTGTTTCGATTTAACCCTATTACTTGTTTTTTTTTTATTGACAGATACTGAACATGTCAAAGTTTTATTTTGTATTTTTTTCCTATGTGCTATCCTTATGTTATGTAATAGAATGTGGCGTGGTTAACACAGGTACGGTTCTATTTTCTAGTAGGGATATAAGCAGGCAGTGTTGGCATCCTGAGGAAATCGCCGTTTTAACTACAAGAATGATTTTGCAAGATTTGTTGCCAGAAGTGAACGTTTTAGAGATCAATAACAATGATTACGTTGATGATATTGTGGAGTATTTTAGGTAAACAAAAATTTATACACTGAAAAGGCATTAGCTCTGCAATGGTCTCTTTTAGGTTGTTATTTGAAGTTGTCCAAAAGTCTACGCAAGGCAGATCAAGGCATATAACGATGTTAGCATTGTCAGACCTAATCGGTAACAACTTGTTAATTAAAACAAATTAATTGCATTCTTACAAGTGTAAAGAAATATTAAAGTTGGTAATATCTGTTATGTAGGAGGTTATTTGCAACATGCTGTTTTACCAATGGCGCGATATGCGTATTACGCAGGTGTAATCGACTTTCCCAGCATGGAAAAATTGATACAACTCTACGAAGAACTCAAGTGGTTCCTAAGAACCAATGGACAAGGTTGGGCGAAGCCTCTTCAGCCTAGTAAATGTTTGTACCATTTTTTAAAGCTTTAATGATAAATATTGATTGATAGGAACTGAATATGACATAGAACCCATAGATTTATCTAAAGAAGGGATAAAAGGCAACAAGTCCTGCTGCCGAAATCTGATTTACTATCAACGGCCACCGATAAAGCGAGAAGCTAACAGTGAAGAAGAAAAACCGACTAAGTTGTTTTTCCCAATTCCTTTTTTCGACTCCAAAGTCCGTCCTTCTGCTATCGCAGTGCCATTTAGAAGGTAAAAGAAACGGTGACCTCTTTTCTTTATTAAAAATTACCTTTCAGATTTGCTCTACGAAATATCGAGTCGAAAAGGGCAGCTTACATGGTGTTGAAGTATTACATTTCCGTACATAACTGCTTAAATGACTTACACGCCGATAAGTCTACAAGTGAAAGCTTCCAAAATAGCTTATACACTTGGTTAGAACAGAACGTTATGCCCAAGCTGAAGGACGACAAGTTTTATTCGGCTTTTGGGGGTATTATGAGGGTGGAAGAATCTCTAAAACTACAAGGTAAATGTTTTGTTATTCCTTTAGTTTTATTTAAAAAGTATATTTTCTTTAAGGTGCAAAATTCGCTAGTAATACAGGGAACACTGAATGTTTCGAAAATGAAGGCGATCAGGAACTGGGTGCCGTACCAGGAGGGGTAACCGATTTTTAATACTGCAATTGCAAATTTTTTATTAAATTCTCATTTCTTTCAAGGAATCTTCGTCTAGGTCCAGCATTATTTTGATTTCGATGCTTGTTACTATATTTATATGGTTTATTATTGGTACGTTGTTCATCTGCTACCGAATCAGGGCTAATAGCAAAAAAGGGGGTAAGTGATAATCAGAATTTTACAAGACATAATGAAAAATCGATGATTTCAATCATGTTTCAGCACAAATGAATGTTTCGAGCGGCACAGGAAGTTCCAGTTCATTTGGGTCTAGTAGCAAATGGTCGTCTTCTAAAAGGTAAATAATAAAAAAAGGCGTCATAGGATAATAGAAACATTAATCTGTTTTAGAACTGTGGATACCTGCAAATGTTGCACGACAGCAACAGAAAAGTCGGCAGAAATAAACAGTTCTGTTTCCAGCGAGTTCGACAAAGAAGAAACTCGCAAAACAGGGAAAAAATGTACCCCAAAATCCCTGCTAAAAAGTTTCACTTTTGCAGATAAGTGTTCAAAGAAAGAGCCCTACGGAAGGACCTGCTTCTGCGATGGGCCTCCGACTATTGACCCCAAACACTCGTTAAAGCTGCTACCATCCATACCGGAAATGTCGGAGAATTCGTCATCGAAGCGCGACGACCGGATAAAACTGAGTGGCAAATCTAGGAAGATAAGTTTTAATAAATCCTTGTGTCCAAGTAGTAGAGAAGACAATGATATGGAGAAAAATAAATCGAAAATCCGAATATGTGTGCCTAGATTAGCAGATGTTGATGTGACGGCTTGCCCGCGTTATGACGATAAAGCTGTGTCTCTTTCAAGGTTAGTAGGTTTACAATAATGACCGCTTTTGTATTTATCATCGCTTGTTTCAGTTTTAAAACCAAATCGAGCAATGGAAATGATCTGGGTATCCAAATTTCGGTAAATGTTTCTTATTAATTAATTCTTTCAGTATATCGGTAGCAATTTTTTTTATTTTAGGAACCGGGTATAGAGTATTCAATTGAGCAGCCAGAAATTGATATAAAGGAAGATATTATTGACACTAATGGAAACACAACGGAAGAGACATCTGATAATACTGGTATTACTGCAAAGTAACCTTTAATATATATATTTGAAAAAAAAAATAATAATTTGACTTTATTTTTAGTTCTCCACATATATACGCCTGTCATTCCAGTCTTACTGGTAATTATACTACAGATCAGAGATTCCAAAGTGAAAAACCATTTATTTTTGGTTATGACTTCCAGACTTCATCGTCTTCAGGTAATTTTTGCAGTTATATTCAATGAAAAGTCACTATTAGAACTCTAAAAATGTATTTAATTCCTGTTTCGTCAATTTTCTAAAATCTCTTACATATTACATCATGAATGGATTGTATACCTGAAATATTTTTTTGGTTTTTAGAATTATCTGATGAAGAAAGTGATGTGAGGACATCTACAACAAAATAATTTCTTTGGAAATGATTAATATACCCGAATTGTATTACTTTCATATATTTGTTTTAATTAAATGCAATTTTCATTATTTACAGGTGAAAATAAAAATAATATAAATCACACTTGACTCATTTATTTTACTGATTGGCATTCAAAAACGTTTATTTGAATTACCCCTTCCTTCCATAACCAAATAATCGTTTTTTCCTTAATTTTCCTAAATTTTGTAAATGCTACTAATCAGTCGTGAATAGATTATACACTTTTTAGAAATTTTATTTTAAGGTTGGCACCTCTTAAATAAATACTTTTCTTTCATTGGTTCATCACCACAGATCGGGACAGCCAATCTAGACATAAAAAAATTTAAAATAAATTTACCAAAGTTTTGATTTGAGAAAAGTGATGAAAAAGTGTGTAGGACATCCAGGACAACATGTACCATAACAGAAGCTTCAAACGTTTATTGAGGCTCGTATTTTATTTGTTTATACTGTTCTCGTCAATGTCAACAACTAAAAACTTCAAAAGGCGTTTGATTTTTGACGATTATCTTATCAAGAACTGATATATATCGTTCTAGAAAATATTATCCTGAGGCAATGTTTGTAAACAAATTAATATGCCTGTGAATAATTATGCAAATTGGCTGCTGCATATTGTTTTTCATACGGTTTATATCATAAGATTAGAAAGTAATAGGATATTTTTAGTAGTGGTACCTAAATAATTGCGAGGATTTTTTAGTGCTGTAAACGTGTCTTGACAGAAAAGGTCGTACTGCGCCGGATTATGCGCATAGATTTAAGATCAAAGTCGCCATATTGCTAACTGTCTAAATCGGAAAATTAAGTAAGTAAATACAGGCTTATCCACGTATTACCTTTAGCTTTTAAAATTTTCGATAATTTTTCTGTGTTGTGGGTGTCTTTACGCGTAAGTAGATGCATAATAAAGGGCTTTCTGTAGGACCAGTTCTTCAAAACACTTGAAGAATATTTAGAGTTATTGCATAAAATTCTCACAATAAGTGCTAGTTCAAAAAATTTTTTGTGTAAAAGAGGACAGGTCGTGTCGCAACAGTTCAATTGTATTTTGATTTTAAATACTGTTAGGTAAATTTTTGCAGTTTCCGGACCCAATCGGTGGGCGGTTAGGGCTTTTGTGGGCCAAAAATTGTTACATGGCAGGATATTTGACAGATGTTCTAATTTTTTTGACATTCTCTTTATTTAACATTAAATGGAACCAAAAACAGTTAGTTTCAATTAGTTCGACTTCTATTAAACTTGCATTGTCGCAGCACAACGCTGAAAAAAACTGGGTCTTTTGGGGAAATGGGCAGCAATATGTGTTTATTTTTCCTATGATTAACAAAGAAATTCCCAGAATTTTAATGACTTAACATTAGTGTTACTGTGAATTAAATTTGTATTATTACTGCCGTATACTGATTCACTGTTTTCGTATTTGTTTAAGGCAAGAGAGAGAGATTTTTTGTAAGTGATAGTACTAAAGAAGCAGGTGTCGAAATGTCTGTTTTGAATCAAAGTGGAGAGGAGCAAGTTGAATGCCCATTGTGCATGGAACCCCTGGAGGTGGATGATCTGAATTTCTTTCCGTGCACATGTGGATACCAGGTATGATAACCCTTGAAATTGCGACTAGAAATGCCAAAATATGTTACTCGAATTAGTCCCTTTAAATTTAAATATTTTATCTGTACAATTGTATTGATTTTTCTTTTGTGATAAAAAACCAATAGATAATATCACACATTACAAATCTGCTGTTTTTATGCCTTTTTTATATTAAAAAAAATATTGTTTAAGGTTTTTCTTTATCAAAGTAATTTAATTTATCCATAAAACTAATGGCAATTACCTAATTCATGTGGGTTTTCTTTATCAACAGGTTTTACATTCGCGTTATCAAAGAAAATGACTACAGTATGTGGTCTCCATATGTTAGCAGATATCAAGTAATGCTTTCCTCTAAGCCTTTCTATTATTTTTGTATTAAACCCATAATTTGTGTTAAAGCATATATCGTTTGTGTAAATTTTTTTTGTAAATATTTATGTAACATTTACTTAAATGTCTATTTAAAAAATAATAAATCCCATCGAGAAATGTAATATTTGTTTTGGAAACGATTCGTCAAATGATCTATTGCAAATGTTGCAATATTTTCTAAATACAATACAAAGGTTTTATACAACAATAATTGTACTCGTCAAAGTAATAAAATTAAAACATATGGATGTCAACATAAAAGTATTGATTTACCTAACATTACAGTTGACCTTAAAAATGTTTCTCAATCACATTTTTACATAATTTTGTTATTTGAATGGATTCCATTTAAAGACATTAATTTCCAATAACTTTCTTATTTGCAGCTTATATCTTATGCTAAAATCTTCTAGTGATTGCACTTTATTGACGCAATTGTGTTTTCAGGAACATAATTTATACAGGGTGTCTTTGGAAAGCAATAAAAGTGTACTTTTATTCGAAAAGTACAAATTTTGTATTAATACTTGCGAAATTCACTGTTTGAAATCTGACACTACGCTTTTTAAATGTTTGCATGGAATTACGGTTATCGTTAATACATCCTTCCAGATCTGTCGTTTCTGCTGGCACAGGATCCGCACGGATGAGAACGGGCTGTGTCCGGCGTGCCGCAAGGCGTATTCCGAAAACCCCGCCGACTTCATCCCCCTGTCGCAGGAGCAGGTGGCAAAGCTCAAGGCGGAGAAGAGGCAACGCGACCAGCAACGCAAGGCCAAGCTGACGGAGAGCCGGAAGCACCTGGCCAGCGTCAGGGTGGTGCAGAGGAACCTGGTGTTTGTGGTAGGTCTGCCTATGAGGCTGGCCGATCCCGAGGTGCTGAAACGGCACGAGTATTTTGGCAAGTTCGGCAAGATTCACAAAGTGGTCATTAACCAGTCCACGTCGTACGCTGGGTCGCAGGGGCCCAGTGCAAGTAAGTGGCGATATAGTAATTTTACGTTGTTTTGGTGAATGGGGTCGTTTTCTAAGTTTCTTTTATAATTATTTTTGTTCTTAGTGTTGTTAGGACGAAATGATTCTCAAGTGCTTGAGAATATTAGCAGGTACTCCCACATGAAAAAAAAAAAATACAAGTCTACGTTTTCTTAAGATGCACAAAAGTTGAACTTTGTCTTTTGCCAAAATTTTCTTATTTTTCTCTGTACAGGAGTGGTACCTGATGACAAATAGTAGTTATGGCACTCTCTTCCACATAACTCAATGTATGTTTTACTAAAGTTTCCTGTTAATAATAATTTTTTTAACCTTCCAAGAACACACCTATCCAGATTACGGAGAACACTCTGGGTCAATGTGGTCCAAGACTTTTTTTGATCGTGTACCATTCCGCAATGTCTGGGCTGAATAGCTTGAAAAAATTCTGAATGACGACTGTGCTCTCTGCAAACCATGACAAGCTTTTGAAATTATAGTTGAGAACTCGAACTTTTCAAATTTCTTTAAGAATTTCACCATCAAAAAATTTTTTTGGGTCAGATTGATCCATAGTTTTCTCCGAAGGTTAAATTACTCTAGAATCTAACAAACAACACAAGATAAAGGGTATTATAGAAAGGTTAGATAATGGAGAATTTTGGAAAAATATTCTTGATTTTTATGAAACTCGAAAGTCCACTGCATAAGATTTTTTATTTTCATCAATGCATTTTTCTAAGTCTGTATAAAAATAGCAATAATTTTTTTTTGGCGGATTTTTTTTAGGATCATTTATGGTTATTCAGTAATATAGAATGTTTTTTAATTCCGACTAGACTTTGTATGCTTTATTTCAGATTATCGAGGTTTTACTCTATCGCTTTTGTAAATATAGGGCACATTCAAGAAAAATGTAGAATATTTAGCGTATTCAGAAATTGAAATATGAAAAAATTTGATTTTTTTTATTTTTGCAGCACTTTTTTATCAAATACAGTGAAAATCGGTTATAACTACCTTCAAGGGACCGTTTGTTTATGGTTGTTATAACCGATAGACATAATAAGCAATTACATATATTTTATTTAAAATTTGTATAGAAAAAATGATAAATTTATAATACAAGTCTTCAAGTATGTACATGTGTTGCTTTGTGTTCAAAAGATCTCGCGTGCTTCGTTTTCAATGAATCGTTTACGAATACAGACTTACTTTATTTCTATCCTTCCAAATTGTTGAAATTGTAGTTGTGACACGCCACATTATTTTACTTGCTTGCATTAGTTTCTCCGTTTTTTAGTCTCTATATTATGTGTGATTTTTCTTCTTTATTAAATACTTTTCTCTTCGACATCGTTATAGAAAGCAGTAATTAATTAAATCATATAATATAACTGCATGCGCAGATAAGTCGTAATTTGTCTCAAACATACTAACTGGTGTCAAAAGCGTGGATGCCGGCGGGGAGCGCGGAAGAGCGGTGCATTGGTTTTAAGGCCGTAAATCACTATTGGTCGTTATAACCGATAGAGTCTAAATGCGAAATGTCGTAAATGGTGTCGTAGTAAACGGTAATTTCAATATGGTATTTCTATAGAGTTAAATCGGGACTTCCAAATTCCGTCGTTATATCCAATATGTCATATAAAGCAATGTCGTTATAACCAATATTCACTGTATAACATAAAACTCAAAGTTTTTCTAATTTGTTTCATTTTTGTAGTGGTTTTCTTAATGAAAAATAAATTCCTGGGCATTTTACATTACTATGAAAGTAAATTTAAGAATTGTTGCAATTAAATCCAGTAAATTATAAATACTTAAGTGACGAACTCTACTACTAGTTGTTGCTGGCACTGACAACCAAACAACATAAATAAGGTGTGAGAGAATGGATTATTTGTCACCTTTTGACATATGCAATGAAATAATATGACAAAAAACTCGACCCGTATTTTTTTATTTTTGTTCGAAATCATTTTATTGGCATTTGAAAAATATATACAGGCAAAACGAATTTGGCAGACAGTCGTAACTTGCTGGATTATTATAATAGCACCATCTATTAATAAGAAGTTCAACTAAAATCTTGTAGATCTGGGTAATTAGAAAAGCGCGTAGAGCTCAATTGTAGAAATTAGCGATTCTTTTTTCAAACATAACATGTAACCCAAGAAAGCTTAAATTTAAATTTTTTGTACTTTCGTCGTTCTTATGGGTGTCATATTGGATTTTTGCTTTTTTGAATTCAGCCCATTTTTCTGATTTTAGTTTGTGTCATATGATATGATTTTATTCTCTCGTTTTTGTCAAATTACTAATTTATGCATTTGTACAAAGAGTGCTTTGAAAACAGAACATTCAACTATTATTCCAAACAAAATTTTGACAGTTTCATTAAATTTTAATTGCCATCATCTAAATTTGGATAATTATAATTTTTTACGTGAAACAAAGCTCGATATTCCTCAAAATAATTACATAATCAATAAGTTTGAGGCATATCTCGCTCTTCTTCATGTGAAAATTGCATTTTTAATTTTTCGAATATCGACATTGCTAACAAAAATTTAAACAAACTGTCAAAATTTTGTTTGAAGCAATAAGTGCAAGTTTTTGTTTCACAGCACACTTTGTACATATGGTTATATCAGTGTTTTGACAAAAACGAAAAGGTAAACCATAAAGAGTGACCGCAAAAAACCTGTGATTTTCGCCCGTTTTTTCACAATTCACAGATAATTAAGAAAATACATAAAAATATGTTTTTGATCGCAAATTACTTGACGTAAAAAACTGATATGAGCATAGCTTTTAGTATTTTGAAAATTTTAAAAATCACCACTACTTAGGGGTTGAAAAAATGCCAAAAATGAAGAATTTGAATATTACCAATTGATATAAAAACTATTAGCATGTGAATTATCTTAATATATTTTCTTTGGAATTTTTACAATTATTTCTGATATTCACTATTGTTGGAGATGATTCCACCCCTTGAGCGTGCTTAAGGGTGGATTTTCTAATTCAACATGCTTATTTCAGTCATGAGAATAAATGTTTCTTTGTATCAAGAATCATTCAATAGAAAAATTCACATGCTAATAGTTTTTATATTTATTGGTAATATTCAATTCTTCATTTTGGGCGTCCTTTCAACTTCTAAATAGGGGCGATTTTTGAGAATTTTCAAAAAACTGTAAGCTATGCTTATCTTAATTTTTTATGACGAGTAATTTGAGACCAAAAACATATTTTTATCTATTTTCTCTAGTTCTCTGCGAATTATGAAAAAACGGGCGATTTTTGCGGTCACTCTTTTCATTTTAAAAAAGCAATTTCTTTAAATTTTTTATAAAAAAAAAAATAGCGAAAGTCACAGGTTTACTTTTTTCCTTAACAATTTCAAAACAAAAAAAGATAGATCAAATTTCTCTTCGATAAATTATTATCAAATTCCACAACTTTGCCACAATTTCTTTTACCTTTTATCTCTTTAGATAACTGAGAAAAAGGGACACCCTCTATAGAATTTGACTTACGAAAATGACCCCATCAACTTAATTGATCTGGAAAATTACAATTTTTATGGGAATGGTACTGTAAACCTTCCGCTTTTTCAGGTGCCTATGTAACTTACATGAAGAGTGATGACGCTTTAAGAGCCATACAAAGTGTTAATAATATAACGATAGATGGCAGACTGATTAAGTCCAGTTTAGGTACCACGAAATATTGTTCGCACTTCATGAAGAACCAGACGTGTCCAAAGCCTGACTGTATGTACCTACACGACTTTGGTAAGTAAGAGGATGAGGTTCTGCATGTTTTTTATTTCTGTTTTTCTCCGCTCGACTCTCAACTTGTGATTCTTGTAATAGTTTGCTTGCGTTTTGTTGGATTACGTTGTGATATTTTAAAACTTCTGCGTCGTTATGAGTTAAATCATTTTGTGTAACCATATTAAACTTTTGCTGTGTTTCATAATGAGATTTGGAGTATTTTCAGGTATTCCAGTGATTCACAGAATGTTTCAGGGCCAACAAACACGTCAACAGTAATTCTGGTCATTTTTTAATACTACGTTTACATAAAATATTGCAGGTTGTGCGGGAAACAGTAAAAATTTCCTCCCTCTGTGTACGACTTGTCCCCGATGTACCCCTTAATAGTGTATCTCTTGATTTCAAGGAGACTCCGAGGCGAGCTTCACGAAAGAGCAGATGCACGCCGGCAAGCACCAGGAGTATGAGAAAAAGCTGCACGAGAACCTGCTGTCCCGGACCGCCAACAATAACAACAACACAACCGGCATGACGGCGGATAGCAGCAAGACCAGCGCCCCCATTCCCACCACGGGCGGCAGCAAGTCGTCTTCCAAAGAGAACGTGACGGTGCTGTCGAGCAGCGTCAGCAGCAGCAGCAGCACCACGTCCAACGTCAGCACCGGCACAAACAAGGATGGCTGGCCGCAGCTGGAGAAGGAGAAGAGGGAGAAGGAGAAGGGGAGGAAGGGTAAGGCGAAGGGCGAGAGCAGTATTAGGAAGGAGAGGAAGGAGGGTGCGGGCGGCGGAAAGGGGGAGTCGAGGACGGAAAAAAGTAAAACAGATGGTAAGTGGGAACGGCATATTTTTTATTAAAAAAAAAACTATTTTTTTAAAGTTATGAAATTATGCAGAGTAAGTTTTGATAGTAGAATAAAAAAAAAACAAAAAATTGAGCTCCGATTAGATTTTTTTTGAAAACTGTCATAAATAAAAGTCCAGGATTTGATGATTTCAATTCTATTCTCAGTTTTTCTGTAGTTTTAATCTGCCAGGAACATTGTAGATTATATTTAATCCATCTATAAACGCAGGTGGCTTCCTTTTTTGATTTGTATACATGTTTTTTTTATAATACCATACAGAAATTTGACAATGAAGACACATAAACACGCTGAACTGTCGTCAAACACTGAAATAAATAAGTTTTTAAGGTTATTCACTTCACCAAGTACTATTTTAAATTTTACTGTATATTACAAGCATCGTCTTGTAAACCGATAAATTGAAAACTAAAATGAATATGATAAAATGAGGCGGTAACATATTGGGCCATTCTTGTTTGTCCGTTTATTTTTTGCCTTTCTAGTGCCCTGTTGTTATATTACATCAGGTGGATTGATATGTAGTTCAGCTAAGCTTGACCATAATCCATTAATTCATAAACTAAACACAATGCTTTAAACAAAATTAGATACTTTTTATTAAATACTTGAAATTGTTTTAAAATATATTACAAATCTATCGGATTAGCACATATTTTTATTAATTTTCCATTATGTATATTTTATAAAATACAAATAATTATTTTAAAATTTTTGAATTTTCGGTTCTTCCATATTGACATTGAAATAAAAATTTATTATTACCCCTAAAAAACTGACCACCACTTGAAACTGCCCCCTGTATTTTCCTAACAAACACCCTGTGTAAACCGACTTATAAACAGACAATTTTTTGCTGTGGTACCAGCAGCTTTTCATAAGAATGGCACTGTCATTACTCTTCTTGGAACAGATTCTATTTTGACTGGATGCAGACATAATTTTATAATATTTTCTCCTTAGCAGATATAAAAATGAATAAGAGTGAATATTCCAATGAAAACGAGCTCCTAACCCTGCAGTAAATCTTTGCTATCAATTAATAACAGGAGTATTACGTATATCGGCAGTGAAAGTTTGGAGGAGCAAAATTGCAAGATCACCCGATGTGTCACTAGTTGTTTTTGATGTCCTGTTTGTTTATTCACTTACGTCTTAAAGTTGTGCATGAATTTTTTTCGATATTGTTGGAAAGGCACCAGAGAGGGAAATTTTGTCCATTTCTTGAATACAGGGTTATTCAGAACTTATGCAATAAAAAATTTTTTGAATCTACAAATACAATTTTGTTTAAAAAAGATCAAAAAGGGCAGTTCGAAAATGATTTAAACATACACTTTATAGGCCTATCGAAATAACTCGTTTAGAGGGAAAAAAAGAAAGAAAATTGTTACCTGGACTTTTATAAGTGGAAATGGTAAAGGGGCTTGTAATAAACGAAGAAAAAATAAATGCTTGAGCAGGGGTAGCGGAGGGTAGATTTGGGGTGTTGAAAAGTTGTGAAAAATTGTATCATTGGGATTTCTGGCGAAAGTTGATGTCAATCCAAAAAAGTTGTAGATCATGCAAAAATCTACAACATTTGTAGAGGTCACTCTTTAAGATAACCTCAAAATTTCTGAGAAAAATGCGAAAAACAGTTTTTTTTTTCAGATTTTTCTTTTTTTTATTTATCATTTCTACAAAAATAATTTAATTTTGACGAAACTTGGTGAAAGTATACCTTTCTGTGTCTTAAATAACAAATTTTTTTTAGATAAAAAAATCAAAAAGTTTCCGAGATTCATTTTTTCCGGTCTGAAACACTTTCTTTTCAAAGAAAAATTCTACCTAGAAAAATCATCGTACAGAGTTCTGCCGGTGATAATTTTTTTTGTTTTGGCATATACTTTTTGGTGAAATTGAGATTGTCTTAAAAAGTGATTTCTACAAAAGTTGTAGATTTTTGCATGATCTACAACTTTCGTATTGGATACTTTTTTGTTTCATGTCAACTTTCGCCAGAAATCCCAATGATACAATTTTTCACAACTTTTCAACCACCTAAATCAACCCTCCGCCACCCCAGCTCGCGCATTTATTTTTTTTTAGGTTTATTATAAATCCTTTTACCATTTCCACTTATAAAAGTCCAGGTAACAAAAAATTTTTTTTTCTCCAAGTATAATTTTGTTGGAGTATTAATTAATAATATGACAAACCTGATGTTACAACTGTTCAAAATCTTGTCTGTCGATGTCTAAATACATTTGGGCCCATCTTACCCAGTTTCTACAAACTAACACAAATGTTGCCTTGCTTCACGATAAATTAAAACAATCAATTTCGAGTTGCGATACACGTGTAAGCCATTTTTGACATTTGAAAAAATTAATGTAAACACTATCGCAAAAATTGCCTGGGACTACGTCGAGAGAGAACGCATTGCGAACAGCGTACAATGAAAATGACACTAGAGACTACAGTAACCCAGCGCTGTAAGGGTTGTAAATACTACAACTTCAATTTTTTTCTCGGAAATTAAGGTTTTTCCAAAAATTGTTTTTAGGATATTAACTCCATCTTTCATAACATACCTATTCCCACATTGTTTTGGATAAGTTGTGAATCACCCTGTATATTTTATTCAATATTCCTTTAGAAGAATTTCTCCCATGTGGACAAATTTTTATGGTCCTATTGGTGTCCGTCCATGCAGACTTGGGGCTTTTGTTTCATTTTTTTTTTGAGAGCTTTTTAATTGATCCTTCTGAGTACTTCTTCCATTACAAATTTTTGTTTACAGGCTATTTACAATAATTATTGTGACTGTTCCAATTTAAAACGATGTTATTGTGACACATTTCACAGAAATTAGGTAGACTTAGGGGTAAAATGTGATTTTTCTGACTTTTTGTCCTTTGAAGCTATAAAAATTTTGGGTTTTATTGAAAATATTGCTCATCTTCAATGTTGATTCTATTAATTTAGTGGTACTTGCACACCTAGATTCGCTTTCTCTTTCTCCATATTATAATTTTGAGACTAGAACAAACTTCGAGTGCAAAATTGTCAACGATTTGTTGGATGTCTTGTCACATATTATGCACAAAAAACTACATTTTAGTATTATCCACTGTAAATATATTATTTTCGTTCACAGAACAAATTATGGAGACAACAATTTTTTTTTTAACTTAGTTTATTCTTATTAACTTTTTTCTTTATTGTACATTGTTCTCTTTATTATTTACGCCATTCATACTTGATTATAATATTAAACAAAAATGGGCTCTAACTCGTAAATAAATATTTTACACACCACTTAATATTTCAGAGTATTAAAACTGTCTTAATCCTTATATTTCGTGACCAATTTCTGAGCTATACTTTTTCCCGGCCAGTAAAAGAAGATAAACCAACGTCGCCGGCCCCCACACAAACAGAAAAGGCGCCCACGCCCCCCACAGAGCCGCATCCGCCCTCCACGTCGTCTAAACTCCCCCCCATCATAGACGACAACTCTAGCTTCTTCTCATTGAACTCCTTCCAGAAAATAGCGGCGCCCAGTCATCCCGACGAGCAGGCGGACGTGGAGCACGCGGATCCGGAGAGCACGCAACCCTCCTCCATCCTCACAGACACGCTGCCCAACATAAACACGACGGAGGACTGGGCGGCTGCGTTCGGGTTTCCAAGGCACGCGTCGGAACGTCTCGTAGAGGAGATAGGTTTGTACGGAGCGTCGTGTCTCACTAACGTGGTGTACGGTGTTTTCGGTTTCAGGTACCAAACAGCAGGAGGAGATGAAGGGGCCGCTGGATACGTTCAGGAACGGGTTCAGTTCGTTGGGCGGGCACGACAACGGGTTCAGTAAAGGTAGGTTCGATTAAAATTCGTTTGAGTTCCATATTTTAAATAGGGAGGTATCTCAATCGTTGCCAGACAGAGATATAGAATTGTCTCTTGGGAAGTGGTGGTATATTACAGAGAAAATGTTAATTGCAAATATTTAAAGAATTCGCAAATTGAAGGTTTGGAAATAAGTGACCGAAATCGATTTGAAGGTCGTAGTTTACGATAGCAGAAAAAACTAAACTTAAGATCATAAAGTTTTCATATTCAACACTTAATTATCGAATTTTCCCTTTTGCGATGGCTGTGAGTACTTTATTTGTCTTGTATATTTTTAGTTTTGGAACCCTATCTTTATTTAGTTGTTAAGAAACAATTATAATTAATATTTGTCAGTTGATTTCAAAAATTATTATTTTTGTAAAAAGATAATAGCTTTTGAATACACTTGTCATATTCGGAATGGATGGATTTATTTAAAAATACAGGGTGTTTCATAATAAAATTGATTAATCTCGAAAACGTTGAACTTTTAGTAATTGTGAGAAATAGTTTTTTGAAGTTTACATTAATTTTGTATAAAACGATATTTTCGATATTCTTTTTAAGCATAAATTGAAGGTATTTGGCAATTTAAATAATAACAACCACCAGGAACAACACTCTCCAATCCAACAACACAACAAGATTAGAAGAATCACAACGAAGTCAAAAATTGGTAATTTGAAAATTCAAGGGGCCCAAAAAAATCCCAAAAAACTAATTAAAACAAAACTCAAGAAAGCCAAATAAAAAAAACCGTCCCCAAGCACCCCAAAAAAAAAAAAAAAAACACAGGGCCATAGAAAAACACATTATATTTTTACGGTCCAACCCGGAAAAGGTCCTTCAAAACTTTTAACTAAAAAAACACCTTAAACGTATTATTTAATGAAAAACGTAAATTAAAATTACAGTAGAATCTTGATTATCCGTGCACAGCTAATCCGTAACGGTGGATTTTTCGTGCGATGCGATGTATCCGCTATCAGTGCACGAATTATCCGATGTGGGGCGATAAACTCTCAAAAATAAAAACAAAGACGAATCTCTGCTTATTTATTGTGTACATATTATTTACCTACGCAATTTAGCATTTCGTTTGTGCACGTGCAAAATTTCTTCATAAATATGTATCACCCTTTTTATTTTTTATTGTACATATGTACATGTGTATGTAATAGGTTATGTGTAATAAAGTTCTTAATTTTTGCAAAATAGGCGAGTTTCAGCGTTATTTCGATTAACCCGGATAATCGAGGTTCTACTGTAAATAGTATACATGGTGTGGCTATTAGGTTTTAAGACTATGTACACTCCTCCCACATCAATACTGCATTGGGCGTGATCCGCCAGTCGTTCTGGCATGTCTTCTGGTGTCTCGTTCAGCTCTCTCATCACAGCCTTTTGAATTGTTGAAATATCGTCAAATGCCTTTTAAATGTAATTTAATTTTTGGGAATTAAAAATAATCCGTCATATCCAAATCCGGCGAGTATGGCGGGTGGTGAAATACGATTACGTTTTTTGGTACCAAGAATTGTGGAACAATGATGACGTTATGGGCTGGTGCATTTCCGATAGTCAAAAAATAAGCCATCATGGTTTTCACATGCGATTTTTGGAAACGGAGTTTCTTCGATTTTAATTTCCTCGTTCTGCTCAGTCACCAAAGAAAGAGGACAAAATGGGCACAGATCTTTTGTTTTTCCCAAATCTTTTGTGATTATTTGATGAACAGTTTCTTTATTGACATGCCAACATTCTGAAGACTTCAAACACATTGCTCACAGTTTCAATGTATTCGTTCGTGTGGATTGTGCGGGGACGCCCCGTCTTTTTGTCGTCATGTATGGTGTCTCGGGGATCACGCAACCTTCCGAACCATGGGAGCACAGTCAGACGTGATAACACACTCCTCACTGTATGCCCTTTGAAACATGTTTCCGTGGCTGTTTTACCGGTTTAAAATAGAACTTGATTGCTGTACACTGTTCAATGTATATTTCCATGACAGCTTCATGCAAAACGTTATAACTTCATCGCAGACGCACATAAACTGTTGAAATTTAGTTCGCTCGCTCCGAAGGCTCCCCATTACGTAGTTCTGTTGACCGCACATAGATAGCGCCACACACTTTGTCACAATAAAATCAGTCTTAAAACTTAATAACAGGACTGTGTATATGGTATAACCTAAGGTTTTTTTGTTACAGTTTTTACTTTTACCATTTAGCACAAACATTTTTTCACCCATAGTGCAGACTACTGTTGCTGCAATTTCATTTTCTCATTTTTTTATTTGAATAAAAATCAACCAAAAGATTGTTCATTGTTCTCAACTCCTTTTAGGAACTATCGAATGATATTTAATGTGATAAAAGCACTAACGACACACCCAAATATTATACTTTTTACTGTTCTCTATTACTGAACTATTTCTTTGATTATTTTACTGTTTTCTAACAGATTTGTAAACTCTACAGTATGGGAACTTGGTGGAAAAATAATACTCGTGTAAAAGTTTTTAAGTAATGAATATACAGTAGAACCTCAATTATCAGGGCCGACCCGGACCGAACCGTTGCCGGATAATTGAAAACACGGTTAATCGAAATAACGCCCAATATCAGCAATTTTGCAAAAAATATTAACTTTATTACACATACTTATTACATACATTTGTACATATGTAGGTAAATAATATATATGCGATAAACAAGCAGTAATCTTTTTTTTTTTTGTTTCTGAGCGCTTTATTCGCCCCGCCACGGATAATCTGCGCACGGATAGCGGACAATCATAAACATTGCATCGCACAAAGAATCCGCCGCACGGATCAGCCGTGCACGGTAATCGCGGTTCTACTGTATTTTAAATATTTCTGTAGTTCTAACATTTCCTACAAAAATTTTTTTTAAATTGAAAATTTAAATGGTAAGGAATAAACAGACCCACAACAATTTTATTTTTGTGCTTCTGTTCTGCATGTCCAATTTTTTGAAATTTTGGAATCTGAATTCTGGAAGCGTCACGCAATGGTTACGTTCTTCGCTTTTCAGACCCGGAGTTGTACAATGGGCTATACGAGATGTCTAAAATGCACGAAAACATAATGGATGCTCTCTCGAACAAAAGCAGCAGTTTCGGGTACAAGCAGGAACCCCAGCCGCCGGTGCCCAGCATATCGAACGGCCTGAACGGTCTCGATCAGAACATGTCGAAGTTCTTCATGGACTTTCACAAAAACAACAAAGAAGTGACTCAGCCTCAGTATTCGAACGGTTTCAACGGTATCCACCAGAACTACTATCCGGGCGTGCAAGGCGCGGCGGATAGGATCATGCTTCTGCAGCAAAAACAGTTGGAGGAACAATTACTGAACCTCAGTTTAAAACAAGGTAGGTTCGGTTCCGTTTTATTAATACTTTTGACATTTGTAGGTTTTCAAGAGATTAATATGCATTTTTTAAGGGTTCGGAGGAGGGTCGGGATATCAGAACGGTATGACTCCTCAACGGTTTCTTAACGGGGACAACGGGGGGTTTGGGAATATACACGAGCAGTTGTACAACAGTTCTAACGTCAAACAGAGTTCGAGGAACGTGGAGGATGAGTTGGGTTTCGACCCCTTCCAGGAGACACAGAAGGCGTTTGCCGAACTGATGGCTAGTGAACAGAACCACAAAACGCATAGTACAGGTAGGCGTGTTTGGCAAAAGTTCGTTAATAAAGTGTATTAATTCTTTTTCCGATTCTAGGCCGTAGTCAAGTAAATGGGGTGATCCACAATCAAAACGGGGGCCAGCTGCCCCCACCTCCCGGTTTCGTGCAGCAAAACACACACATGAACTCTTTCGGTATGTACCGACGCATCGTATTTTTCTCTAGCGTTCCCGTTCCGGTGACCGTTACTAAAGCTTTGCCTTTGTCTTGTCTTTTTTAGGTAGTAAAATTTTACCTTTCTTAAATATGTCTAGTAGTCAACAACAAATTAATAGTTCAACACAAAGTAATTGGCCTAGTAGTTTTAATTCGCAGCTGCAGCAGCCCCCGCAGCAGCAGCAACAGAAAAGTAAGTCGTTTTGTCAAAATTTTACTACACGATGGTTTGTGTGTCTAAAGTGCAGTGTTTCGTTTCCTATGAGTTAGGGTTGGTGCTGATCCGTGCAAGTCGGTATTCCGGTTTCGTTAGAAGCGAATGCGAAAGTTGACAAAAGTGAAATTCGGAGTCGGTAAAAGTTTTAGGTACTTGCCCAATAACGTTTTCTAGTGCAATACGTTTTAGTCGTTGCTTTTGATTAAATAAGAAAGTAATAATAAACTCACGAATAAGTAATTGCGAGCAATATACAGCGTGTTTCACAGCACGTGTAAAAAAATCAACTGGAAAAAGTGTCAAAAATATGACTTAAGGGGACATATACAATTAGACGGAGGAAAATGAGTAAATTTTCAGGATTTTTTTAAACTGAGAAATATTCAAGCTCCCCATGAAATTCGATCTGCATCAAAATACAAAATTTTTTTTATTTAAAACGTAGTTTCTATTTGGCGTTGAGAAAACTGGAAAAAATACAAATTTGAAAAAACGACACATTTAAATACACAAATCGAATTTTCATGCGAAATTTCTGCAGAATTTGTATAAAAAAATAGTTTTTTTCAAAATTTTTCAAAATTAATTTCCGTCAATCATTTCTACCAAGGAGGAACTCAATCGGTTTAATAGTTTTTGCGTAATAGTGTATACCAGTTTCAGAAATATAGTTTCAAGAGAAACAGGTTTAAAGTTTCGACACGTGAAAAACCAGGGAAAAGGGCAACTATAAACTGTAAATAAACTTGGGCGGTTATTTCCCGAAACTCGTCCGAAAACGGTTAATTGTCCTTCAAACATCTGGCATACCTGCGCCTGTGCCCTCTTGCTTCCACCTGCAGCGTGCGCTCTTGTTTCTACCTGAGGCGTACGCTCCAAACTCGAACGGACATGCACAACGTTTACGGTAGAGACCGACCGAATGTGATTTTTTTTGGCTGAAGCCGAAGCTGAACTTCGGTTTATGGGTCACGTTCGACCGAAGCCGAATATATTTTAACTTGAAAATTTTAATTAAAAACAAAAATATAAAATAACATAAAAGTAGGTCAAAAATAAATGCATAATATTTTGGAAATATATATAATAAATAAAACAACTAATTCTAATAATAAACATAAAACATAACGATTAATGGGTATTCTAAAAAAGAAGAAAGAATAAAAAGTATGACTGTCGAATGTCAATGCTCGACATCAACGGCTTCGGCTTAATTTTGGCCAAAACCGATTCTTAGACGAAGGCTTAAATAATGGCCAAATGTGGACGAAGCCGATTAATCGGTCGGTCTTTAGTTTACGGATATAACTTCTGGAGTTTTTCGAATTTCACTCTCAAACTTTCAGAATCTTTTCTTCACATACAGTTCTATCGTTTAAGAATATTAAAAAAAATGATTTTCTTATCGTTGTAATTTTATATGTTCCCTTAATTTAGGGAGTAAACGATGTTGAAAATGGAAAAAAATAAGTTTTTTCCAAATAACTCTGAAAATGCTAGGACGTTTGCGCATATGTCACTTTTTGACATTGTGAATTAATTTTGAGGGATTTTTTTTGTAAATTCAAGGCTTTATTGTGAAAAATTGTGTTCGTTATTATTTTTCAAAGTATTATTCATCGCTGGTACTTTTTCCCATCTTTCTGGCAGCATACAGATTCCCGTCGAAAGAACAACTAATATTTTGATGCTATTCATTAATCAATCCAATTTTTTGTATCTGTAAGATTGGAAGCGCCACTTAACCAGGGCGTGTTCCATGGATGGGAACAAGTAGTAATCCGACGGAGCAATATTTGGTGTTTAAGTATTTTTTTACTTCATGAGCAACATATAGTGTTGTCATTTTGAAATGTTACTTTATCGTGCCTTTGCTCGAATTATGGCCGTTTTTCCCTCACCGCAGGGCTCAAACGCTTTAATTGTGTTTGGTAGCGTTCAGCAGTGATGGTTTCATTGAGTTGAAGCAGATTAAAGTACATAACACCAAATACAAAGCATGAGCTTCGAACCATGAATATTCGGCCTTACCAGCGACGTTGACGTATGACCAGGCAAACCTCATGAATTTCTACACTTAAGATTATCGTAGCTTATCAGCGTTGCCAGAATTTTTTCCGGCAAAGCGGGATTTTGAAACATTTTGTGTAAAAAAGCGGGATTCTTTCGTCGAAAGTGGACATACTAAAAAAACCAATTTAATCAATAGTTTTTAATTACTTATCCTTTTATTTGAGTGTCAAATTAAGTTTATATGATGATAGACAGCCAAAATTGACATAAAAAATATATTTTAATGAAAATACGTTATTTTACTATACTAATCGTCGCGCCGTCGAGTAATCACCGAAAAGCGAGACTGAGCCTGTATCGCCCGGGATATTTAATTTCAGGCTAAAAATCAGGATGTCCCGCTAAAATGGGGACAACTGGCAACGCTGTAGCTTATCCGTGCAAAAACCCTTTCTTTTTTGTTGTTGAAGCAATTGTTCACATGAAAAATCGCCGTTCAACATCTCTTGGCTTTAATTCGTATGACACCCAATTTCCTTGCTTTTGAATCATACCGAGTGCATTTAAACGTTTCAAAACTGTTGTCTGATTAACATTCAACGATTCAGCAAGTTAATCTTGCGTTTGACATGATCTTGGTTGAGGAATGCTTCCAATTTCTCATCGTCGACCAGGGCGTTCTTTGTCAACTGTTTCAAAATCACCACTTTTAAAATGTCGAAACCAATACTCATATATTTTTTATCGATGGAGCATGTTCATCGTAAGTTTCCAACAGCACTCAATGACTCACTTTGAATGAAAAAGGAAAAGTAAAATTTGCCACAAGGCACACGTGGTGTTTTGTTGGCTCATAATTCGATATCTTCGGAGCTGAAAAAAAATATGTTGTTTACACTTCAGCAAAATGACTTATAATACAAAGAAAAGCCTAGTGACAGAGCTTTGACATGAATATAAGGGGTTTTCTAAAAATGGCTTTAGGATGTTGTATAAAAAACAACCGTATGGAATATTTTGGGTTTTTTTATTTTAAATTAAAGTAACATCGATTACAATTAAAAGTGAAAGATTACGTCGTTTAGATGTCCACCACGGCTACGATGGCAGGCATCGATACAAGCGTTGAAATTGTTGAGGATATTTTCGAACCATTGGAGCTTCAATCCCCCTTATGGCGGCTCGAATGTTATTTTTTAGGGTTGTAATATTTCTTGGCTGATTAGCATAAACATTACTTTTCAAATAACCTCATAGACAAAAGTCTAAAGGGGAGAGGTTGCATGATCTTGGCGGCCAATTCACGTTACCAGATAACACGTCCAGGGAATCTCGTGCGCAATAACGCGATGTTTTCTTGTGTAGTGTGGCATGTAACACTATCTTGTTGGAAGTAAACATCATTAGTGTTAATTCCATTTAATTCAGGTCATAAAAAATCTGTTATCATCGCATTATAATTATAAATGGGCCGACGATTCCCCTGGACCATAAGCCGCACCAAACCGTATATTTTTGTGCATAAAGTTGTCGTTTGTGAATCTTCCGAGGGTTCCCCCCATGCGTTTCGTCACTAAAGATGATTTTATGCGCAAAATGTGGATCTGTTGCTCTTTGTTCTATCATCCGAGTAAAAAAATTTCTGCATTGCAAATGGTCCCTTTCCTTCAACTCTTGAGTTAATTAAATTTTGTACACGTGTAAATGCAAGTCCTTGTGTAAAATTCTCCATAAACTGGTTTGCGTAATGCGTAATTCTTGAGATCGCCTTGGAATAGATACTGATGCAACATTTGCGACACTTTCCCGTCCTGAAGGGGCCCACTGATTCATATTTCTTCACTAAATTTCGTATTACTTGTTCAGAAGGACAATTGAAAGCTACAAAAAAACCACAAATTCTGCGATGAGTTTCTTTTATGGATCGACCATTTCCGTAATAAGTTTTTATTACTTCAATTACGTTGTTCTGTCGAAAGTGGCGCCATGACTCACCATAACGCATATACAATTTCGTCAGAAACAAAATAAACACTGTAGTTAAAATCCTAAAGCCCTTAGTTAAAGAAGTGTACGATGCGACGTAGCATAAGTTACGCCATCTATTGTAAATCCCTTAAAAGTAATTTACGTCCTAGTAATATTCACTTCTGCATTTCTGCATTTGGGTTCGCATTAGTATTTGCAAGTATTGAACATAAAATAGGTCAATGCCCACTTTCACGTTTCAGCACAATGTCTAGTATGAGCGTAAGATTGCGGTCGAGGCCGCAAGGTCTCGCTCCCCTTTTAACGATTGCCTTTGGTTTGCAGACATAAGCAACTCGTGTAACGACTGGAAGGTGTTGGACCCGGCGATACTGTCGTCCAGCCGTCACTACCCCCTAGCGAATATGCCTCCGATCAGAGACCACTATTCGAACGTGACACAACTAGGGACACAACAACAGTTACAGAACGGGGCCCCCCTGAGGTCCTACGAGTACACAAACAACGCGTTCTCAAATTTTACACAACAGTTACAGCCAAATTTTAATAATTTTTCACATTTGAGCTCTCCACAGAACTTGAATTGGTTCAGTAGTGATTTAAATTCTCAAATATCTAGCCCACCAGGTTTTAGGAATAGTCAGACAACTAAGCAGCAAGAATGTTAGAAAGAAAAATAAATCAATTTTTGAATGTGTATGGGTCACTTTCTTTTATTTTCATTTTTTATTTGTCAGTTATTTTCGACCGAGGGTTAACAAAACACCCGAGGCATTCGCGTCTGTCCGTCAACGACAAGCGCGGATTTTCATCAGCAGAAAATGCGATTTCCCGGCCTGATGGTTGTCTCTTCGTTTTTTTGCGTCGTGCAATACCGTATTGGAATTACTATTTGTTTAAAGTTGATCCATACCGTAAGAGTATATATTTCTTTAAAGAAGTACTGCAAGTGCTTTATTTTATCGTAAAATTTAATTGTGGGTGCTTGGCCAACATCTGAAACAAGTAAAAACTAATAAATATTATAATTATTATTCATTTGAGTATATCAAATAAAACAGCTAAATATAATAAATATGATATGATTACATAGGTGTTTCAATCTACCCCTCCCGACACGTAAAGTACGGAGTGTGCTCTATAAGTAATAGGAATGCACATTCTGTGTCGGGAAATAAAACGATTCAGTAGCAGGAATTTTTAACATTCCACAATTTTTTCTGCATAATTTTTCAAATAGACTGTTGTAATTATTGTTTGGCTGATTCACTACTCGGGAACGTATAAATTAATTCAATTAAATTTAAACATTGGGTGTTTTAAAATAAAAACCGACTTTAATAATGGAGAGTTTGATAGTTTTTATGAAATTGAAGTATTCATTCCATTTATTCTTCAATAATAGGAAGTGGTAATTATATTAATTACTCACGAAAAAATATGAGTGGTACTTCATGCTGAGCGAATCATTTTAGGCAGCAGATTCTTGTCATATTTTTTCTGAATTGAGCTACTGACCAATAGATGGCACCAGCGTAAAAAATTAGTTTTAACTTTTTTGCATGCAATCTTTTTAAACAGACAGAAAATCTCTAGGATTACCTTGATTTCAGAGTACACTATTTACCAACAGTTTGTAAAACCTATTATAGAATTCTTGTTTATACAGGGTGGTCCGAATTTATGTAGGAAACTTCGAGGACAGATAGATCTCTTTAAAATATAATGCAGTCGATTTGTGTTCAAAAGGAGCTCCAGAAAGAAAATTGTAGGGTAGTTTTAATAGCCCTTTTCTTTTACTCATGATTTCGGAATCATAACGTGTTACGATCCGCTGAAAACCAATCAGATTGCTAGATTTCGGATCGTAACGCGTTATGATTCCAAAATCATGAGTAAAAGAAAACAGCCAATTTCTTGCACTCCACATGTTTTTTGGGGTGCTGAATCCGAATCTGACATTTGCTAACAAAATTTTGTCACGCAACTTGGAAAAAATGCAAAAAAAGTAAAAAATCTAATTTTTTGACTGTTTTTTGCTTATAACTTGCTTTTTGCTATAAATTTTTCATAAATAACCATTCTATTTAAAATGAAAGTACATAAAATTGCCTACAAATTTCACTATTTATATATTGTATATCATTATTGTATATTACATTATTGTATGAGCCGTTGTCGTTTAGAGGATCCTAGCTGAGGTTCTTCGAAGGAGGCGTGTCCTGACAAGTTCGGGTTGTTCTGTCGTTAACGCCGGTGCTTGTTCATCTGGAAAATAAAATAGGTGGTGAGAAAACAGTACCAGTGATCATATCGCAATGAAAGATGAATGATACGAAATAGATTAAGAGATTTACATACCTTTCACAAGTAAGCGTCTTTCTTCAGTCTGTTCTTGGTCTCTTTCTTCAGCCTCTTCTTTCTCTATGTCAATGCTGCCTTCCGGGGGCTCGATATTTCACACAGCCTTTCGCACCATACAAAACACAAAAACCATATCACAAAAATCTATCGACAATACCATATCAAACCATGCCTGCACGCGATGAGTGGTTGTGATACCACTTCTGCTTTGTTTAATCAGGGGATACTGAAATTTCCCAAAGTCCTGCAGAAGAACAATGATTTTCAACCCTCATGCACATCAGAACTTTAACTAGCGCTTGAGTCCGAACGGTTCGTTGGAGGAAAAAACCTAAATAGTGAAATTTGTAGGTAATTTTATGTACTTTCATTTTCAATATTTGTGAAAAGTTTAAAGTTTTCAAGTAATAAGCAAAACACCCTCAAAAAATATATTTTTTACTTTTTTTGCATTTTTTTGTTAGCAAATGTCAGATTCGGATTCAGCACCCCAAAAAACATGTGGAGCGGAAGAAATTAAAACTACCTCACAACTTTCCAGATAAAAATACAATTTGACTGAACTAATAGTAGGTGTTCGCCTTATAAACATAGGTCTGGAACGGTCTCATTTTGTAGATACTGGGTGTTGAATTTAAAAACAAAATGATTTTTTATTGATATCTTCGGAACCTATCAAAGACCAAAGCGCTAGGCAGTATGTACCAGGTTCAGTCACTACGCAGCAACTCGGCATTGAAATATTTGAAACACTTGTTCCCATATTTATTTAGCCCTACCCATATACAGGTCTGGTCGCCCAGTTGAAGAACGCGCGCAGGCAAATGGCGTACACACAGCCGAACTGGGCGACTGGGTCATAAATTTCAGTTGTAGATAAATTGCCTAGCAGTGCAGTGCAGCAAAGAGGAATTTGATGTGATTCAGGTAATATTAATTTATTATAGGACCTTCTATTAATCATTCACATTACAATTGTGAAAGGGAGAAAGGGATATTTTGTTTACTAATATTATTATAACATGGCATTTTGGAGACCTTTTGAAACGGAACAAAACGAAATACCGCCAAACAATATTGAATTAGTAGAATCGATTGTTGATGAAACGGATTTAAAATTTAAAAGATGTACAGTCACGTACAGATGGCGCCACCCAAATGTGAACGGCAATATTGTATCGTGTAATTTAAACTTTAAATCATAGTCGTCGTAAAATTCAATGAGGTGGCTGCCGATTTAAATGTCAGTAAGAGTTGTATATTTTATATTAAAAAACGCTGGCAAGAAGAACAAAGATTACAAAGACCTATCAGGCAAGGTGGTCTCTCAGAACAGCACAAAGACGTCTAAAACAATCTGGCCTGAAAAATTGTGCTGTAGCTCGCAAAGTATTCCTAACCGCTGAGCATAAACAAAGAAGAGTCCAGTTTTCAAATGAACTGCTACATCAAGGAAATGAATTCTGGAACAACGTAGTGTTCTCCGATGAGAAGAAGTTCCAATTTTCTAATAGTGGAATGATACATGTTTATCGGCCTAGGAATTCAAGATTCGAAGAGAATTATACACAGCGTACTACCAACAGTGGACGCTTTTCTGTCAATGTTTGGGCGTGGATAAGCATTTATAGTCCTAGAGTGTGCTGGCAAATTGATGGGAGATTAACAGCCGAGACACACAAATATTTTAGAGAATATGATACACCATCAGTGACACAACTTTTTCCTGATAATTTTGTATTTCAACATGTAAGAAATGATACACGATCAGTATGTAAGAAAATATTAAAATAATTACCTCTTCATTACAGGATAATTCTACAATTCACACAGCGCGAATAGTAAGGGAGTGGACGAATAACAACAACATCAATGTTTTGCCTTGGCCAGCAAAAAGTCCGGACTTAAACCCTATTGAGAATGTGTGGGGCTTCTTAGTTAGGAAAATGTATCAAGGAGACTTTAGGCCGGCAAACCGCAATCAACTCTGGCAAGCTATTCAAGATGCTTGGGAAGAGCTCGTGGATTCATATGACATGAGAGCGTTGATTTTGTCTATGCCAACAAGATTGCAAAGTGTTGTGGCAATTAATGGCTCTGCAATAAAATATTAATATTTAATTCTAATGCCAATTTTGCAACAGCAGTTTTTGCGAGAGTTAAACGTTTCTCTGTTGATCTGCAGTCGTCACTGTGCTCAAATATAATTTTCTTCTATAGCCATAGATTTGTTGTTAATTTTGAAATAAGGTTTTTTATTTTTTATTTACTGTTTTTTTAATAATTGTTATACTTTAAAATATATCTACTAATAGTAATAGTAAGTTGATAAACTTATTATTATTAACTTTTTTCCACTAATATGTAAGTAAGTAAGATTTATTTCATTAATCTCCTTTATTTATTTTGTTATCTTTCTAATTATCAAGTACTATAAGAGACACTGAAAATAAAATTCTATCAATACCCTCTCTGTGTTACGCCACTAGAAAAAGTCTGATCTACTACGATAAAATCCAGATTAAATTTCCATAACAACCAAAATCTGTTCACATTTGGATGGCGCCAACTGTACATGGTCAATGTCAGTGTCTCATTTTAAATATTTACGATTATTTAAAAAAGGAAGAAAATGAAAAATCAGATAATGAAATTATAAATAGAATTCACATATTAACTAAAGTTTCAGTGTCCCCAATTTTTCGTGTTATTAAACAAGGTGCTATAGCGCCTTGCTCGCATTGCGTAAAGAGGAAGCGAAAACAAAAATTTAAAAATATCGGTTACATAATGAGAGACGTAATTCGGCGGACAATTTATAATAGAAGAGTGGAAATTAGAAAGAGCCTAAGTACCAAAAACAAACTGTTGAGATAATCAAGAAAACTGAATAAAAGGCAAAAATTTATTTAGTAAACGTTTAAGCATGTACATGTGTTTAGTGTAAAACGGAAAACATGCTTTTCAACAAAACTAGCAGCAAAGTAACTTCTTATAACAAAAATTTCAATTTGATGAGACACGTGCAGACATCTGATACAAACGGACATACTGTTTGGACAGAGGACCCTTCTAGGAAAACGCTGCTAAAACTTTAAATATTAATATTAGCACTTGGAACTTTTCCTAGGCCATAAAGCATGCTATTTAGACCATTTCTATGTCAAAAACTAAATTTTGGGAAAAATGGTACTTAGGCCCTTTCTAATTTCCACTCTTCAATTTATATACAGAAAATTGAGGCCATAAATAATTAAAATAAGTTGTTGGCCAAATGAACATATAATAGAAATTTTCTATAGTAATCATATTCGATGCAAAGTAATAAATCATTGCCTGTCAGGGGATCCAGTGCAGTACGCTTTTAAGGGGTTTTGAAGTTGAATAATTTCTTTATACATTATGAAGGGACGAAGAGATCACTTCATGTCTGGCACCCTTGTTCTTACAAAAATACGCACCACTGTTGTTTACTTGTTTTTTGGAGGCAGTCTCTGATTTATGACCAAATTCACCAGGTTAGTATTTGACGTATAACCGACCACTTCGTACACTCGATGCATATGCAGCGATATTTCAGATTTTACATTCAATTTCATTTTTAATTTGAAATGGGTCATCTTACGCCTCCTAAAAAAAAATGATACGATTTTCCTTTGATAAATGTCCGACAATTTTTTGCTCTACATTGCATCGCATACGATCCTATTATACACATATACAAACAAAATACAAACTTTACCTTTAGCAGAAAACTTTTTTAGGGACGCCTATGAAACTCATTAAATTTTATTGCTAGGCGTTTTTATGCATGTTCAATTGAGTTCGGAAAGACTATACAAATAATGTATGGTATTAGGCCTTGCAATCTCTAAAATATGAGCTCTAAAGGTTCAACCAGTGATATACAACTGAACAGAAGTTGCCCCTTTTTTGTAAAACCTACACCACTGCATTTTTTGTAAGTTATTGTAACAGATTTATATTCTAATGCACAAAATTTTTCTATTTCTTCTTTAAGAGGGCTCTACAGCAAATAGGCAACCAGCAATACATTTTTACAGATTTTATTACACAGTTTGTCTAAATATGAATTAGTGCACAAATAACAGACTTTCCTCCATTCTAACGCACATTTTCTTTAGAATTGACTTAGTTTGAAACTCGATTAACTTTTTGGTGTAAAGAAATCTGTAATTTACGATGCCGCATTAATTCATATTTAGACAAACTGTGTAATAAAATCTATAAAAATGTATTACTGGTTGCCTATTTGCTATAGAGCCCTCTTAGCAATAACATTCACGGAGACTTAATTCAACATTGAGGATACTGAAAGCACAAACCTTCGCTGCTGAAATATTTATTAGAAAAAGAAAGACGAGGGGCAACATTAAAAAATATATAATTGATACTTATAACAAAATAAAGACATACATGTATAAACAAAATGTGACATATCTAGCCTATAAAAAAAATGGCAAATATGTTGTGCAAAAACACCGACGTTAAATAAATTTCTGTCTAGATTTAGTACGGCTAGTGCTCCAATCACCGGATTAAGTGATGACGGTGGGAGCATCGCGGCCGGTGAACTTCTTCAGCTGCGAAATTTCTAACCCGATTTCCACTAGAGGCTTCAATACAACCTAAAAACGTCAATTGGTTTTTATATCTTGAGTTCAGAAAAAGGCATCTATCTTACCTGAGCGTCGGTGAGGACGTTTTCCTTCTCGTAACTGTCAATGTACACTCTGATGGTGGCGCCGCTACTGCCCGTGCCGGAAAGCCTATAGATCAGTCTCGAACCATCCTCGAACAGCACCCGGATTCCCTATTACAACGGTTAGGAATAAAAAATGTTGAAAATGCATCACAATGTTTAAACACAGAATAAATAGTTATAATTTGTTTTTTAAACTGCACTTAAATTTTTGTCTACGCCGTTACTGAGCAGCGCACAAATTTGGTTGAATGTGCAACAATGCTGCCTACCTTTTCAAACATTTTTGTCTACGCCGCTACTGGGCAGTCCACAAATTTGGTTGATGTGCAACGTTGCCTACCTTTTCAAACCAATCTATAAACTACCAGACGAATACACTAATTGATAAATACTGTTAGGTAACACCACGAACCTGATTTTTAGCGACACTGTTGTCAATGGGATCCACATACGAGAAGTTATCGGCTTGGCTGACCGTGTACGTCTTACCGCCGAAGGTGTAGCTTTTGCCGACGAAATCTTTGCTGGCGATCGTCTGTTCCAGGTGAGCCATCATCTGATTGGCCGCATCGCTTTCGCATTCCTCATAATCATACCTGAAATATAACCGTTTCTAATAACACGACTTTTTAATAGATCGCCTTTCCGTACCTGGTGAAGTAGTTGCGTCCGTAAGTACTCCAGTGCTCCTTCAAGATGTCCTCCACGCTCATGTTTTTGTGTTCGATGATGGACAGCCACGCCAGCACCGCCCAAATGCCGTCTTTCTCACGGATATGGTCAGAACCGGTGCTGTTAATAACAAAAATATCGGTATTACAATTTTATTACCGTTAAAGCTTCGATTAAACTTACCCGAAACTTTCCTCACCGCAAAGTGAGAGTCTACCGGCGTCCATTAAGTTCCCGAAGTATTTCCATCCCGTCGGAACCTCAAACATTTCTTTGCCGAGTTTCGACGCCACCCTGAAAACGATATTTTTCCAGAAACTCGCAAGGATAACCGAAAAGAAACACATACCTGTCCACTGCGGCCGCTGTGGGCATGGACCTAGCGAAACCGTGCACTCCGTTCTTCTGGAAGTACGGAATGCACTGCAAATTGTTCGCTAGAACCGCCAGACTGTCGCTGGGTGTCACGAAGAAGGCCTTCTTTCCTATGATCATGTTACGATCCTAAAAAAATTGAATTTAACGAAAGAACAAACTAAAATTTCATCATTTACCCCATCCCCATCAAAAGCCGCTCCCAAATCGTACTCCTCGTTATCCTTGACTTTGTCAACGAGATCTTTGGCGTAGGTCAGGTTAGGGTCAGGGTGGATCTCGCCGAAGTTGTCCAAAGGAATGATTCGACAGACGTTATGGTCGGGGCTAGCGCCCAATTCTTCCACGAAAATGCGCCTCACGTATACACCCGTTACTGGAAACGGCATTACATAAAATACATTAGAAACCAATTTTTTTTGACGTTTGCATGTACCAATACAAACACAAATCGTTTACAGTAAATCATCCATTTACGAACACCTCTAAATAGCAGATACCTCTAAATAACAGACAATTTTCAATGAGGATAATGAGGTTTTCTTAATTTTACCATTTCTTAATAACAGACCCTTTAAAAAAACGTATGCAATCACTCTATTATTCACCAAAACACAAAAATTACCCGTTAATAGTGAATAGACAAGATGGCACTGGGTTAGTGTACATACAGAGCCTTTATAAATCAATACAAGCCACGTGACCAGTAATTTTATTTTCTTCATGTCTGCAATTAAATTTCAGTAAAATTAAAACAATAAGATCAAGAGTACATTAAACATAAAATTCCATTTCACCGGTTAACGATTGATTAAATTTTTCACGAGATTTTATTCAACCAATCGCATTATTTCGAGCGTAGACACAACAGTTTGTCGTTGTTCATTGTAAACGAATCGTTAATTTTGACGATGTGAAGATTTAGGGACTCTGGGTGTTCCCGTAGAGTTTTACCTCTCTTCCATAGCAGAATTTCGTCGTTTTTGGTGGAGATGCCCCAAAAAAAACGAAAATTTACCTAGGAAAACGCAGAAAGGCAGATTCGGGAGTACCCACATCACTGCCTGACTTGCGGAAAAAGACTTTAGCGATGCAAAATGCCTCTATTTTTTGAGAGCAATAATAACCTAAAGCTTTTAATATATGCATGAAGTATTATTAATATATTGGCTCTACAATAGAAAAGCATGGAAGACTTTGGATATTTCATCAAAATGGTTAAAAAATTTTGATATGATTACCAAAATACCATTTAACATGGTACATTTTTTAGTTATGCACATACGAGGGCAATCAATAAAGACAGGTGGCGTTGCTGAGGGAATGTTGACATTACTTTCCTGTACTAATGTGCATGAAATAGTAGAGGCCGTAGGAACAGTAATCAATCAAACATGATAAGTGTGAGGAAGGTGTCAGCCCAATAGGTGTCGTGATTGTTTAGGGAACAGCAAGTGGATATGGCTCAATGTCAAAGTAGTGTTTGGACCTCGTTTTAGAATTCGTAGCAGTTTTTGTGACAGGTTGCCACCGTTGATGAAACCTGGACACATTAGAGACACAAGCGATAGTCAGAACACTGGATTTTTCCGATTTCATACACAGCTGGCAACAGCTGGAAAGGTTACGGCCACGATTTTGAGATTGAAGAGAAGAATCCTCATGGATGGTTTGTAGAATGGAAGAATGATCTCGGGGCAGTAGTACCGATTTGATAAGGAATAAGGAGACACGGCCCTATTTGGCTAAGAAAAAACTGCCGTTTCACCATGATAACACACTAGCACATTCGTCTGAAATTGCTGTCGTAACCACTGTAGTCGCCCAATTTGGCTCCCTGCGACTGCTTCCTGTTTCCCGACATGAAAACATAGCTTGGAAGAAAAAATTTAGCTCAGACGAGGAGGATATCGTCGCGGCAGAAACGTATTTTGAACAGTATGACAAATTGTATTTTTTGAAGGGGTTAAAGAAATGGCTGAAAAGATTACATTGCAAAAAAAACCAAAAAAACTGATTCCTAACATGGGTACTTATTGATGGACCCTCGTAAGTGTAGGCTTTTTAATATTTTTTAAGCATTTTGACAATTATGTAATATGTTTTATTTTAACATTAATATATTAAATATAATGAATCCTTTTTTCATTATTTGCCCCCACCTCTACCGGATATGGATCTGCTATTAAGAGGTTATACCGTAATATTAAATAAAATGTGTTTAAAATCAGTTTTTTTTTTCTATTTCTATGTTATTTAAAAACAAAAACTAGAAGCAGTAACACAAAAACAAATCTTGTACTAAGAAACCGTTTCACCTAATTATGTAAATTGAAAAAACTTAATTTCCTACCTCCGTTCATGGAATCGATGAGTACATTGAAAGCAGGCCTGGTCTCTGTGCCGCGGATCACAGTCCTCAGTTTGGGGAAGTCGAAAATTTCCTTCATCAGTGACACGTAATTGATAGCGGAATCGATGATCTCCACTACAAAATCGCGCCCGTCCACCTAAAACGAGTGGTAAAACCGTCACGACCCACTACGATTTCAAAACATACTTACGTTGAAAGTCGTGGTGCCTATTATATCGATAAGCCTGTCGGTTTCAAGCTTGGGCGTTGTACGGTACTCAGTAATCTTCTTGGTGTTTTCGTAAATGGCGTCAGAGACCNAAACTTTTTCCGGAGCAAAACAAGTTATTTTTGCAATTTGTTTAAAAAAAATTAGTTTAAAAAAATTGTGACCAGGTTACCGGCCGGTAACATTTTGATCCTCATTCAGGGACATTTCACGGAGGTGATTATGCAAAAAAATCGAATCCGCTAATTTTTTCATACGAAGCCGCCAATTTCGCCTTGTCTAATGGTACATTTTTTAGTTATGTACATACAAGGGTTAATCAATAAAGACAAGTGGCGTTGCTGAGGGAATGTTGACATTACTTTCCTGTACTGTCATCTGTCAAACGACACCATACTAAATTTCAGGCTGATTTATAGGTTAGTTTTTATTTAGCAGTCAGTATCACACGTTTTGTGTTTCTCGATAAAATGGAAAAATCAATTCGCAATTATATGGGGACTTTTCACCGTCTATGACAACTGTGAAATATTGGTTCAACGAATTTAAATGTGGTCACACATCTATTTTGATGAGGAGCAGACGTGGTTACAGAGGAAATTGTTGAAAAGGGCCATGATATGATTCTCACTGATCGCCAACTAATGTGCATGAAATAGTAGAGGCCGTAGGAACAGTAATCAATCAAACATGATAAGTGTGAGGACGGTGTCAGCCCAATAGGTGTCGTGATTGTTTAGGGGACAGCAAGTGGATATGGCTCAATGTCAANGCATGAAGTATTATTAATATATTGGCTCTACAATAGAAAAGCATGGAAGACTTTGGATATTTCATCAAAATGGTTAAAAAATTTTGATATGATTACCAAAATACCATTTAACATGGTACATTTTTTAGTTATGCACATACGAGGGCAATCAATAAAGACAGGTGGCGTTGCTGAGGGAATGTTGACATTACTTTCCTGTACTAATGTGCATGAAATAGTAGAGGCCGTAGGAACAGTAATCAATCAAACATGATAAGTGTGAGGACGGTGTCAGCCCAATAGGTGTCGTGATTGTTTAGGGAACAGCAAGTGGATATGGCTCAATGTCAAAGTAGTTTTTGGAGCTCGTTTTAGAGCAGTTTTTGTGACAAGTTGCCACCGTTGATGAAACCTGGACACATTAGAGACCAAGACCAACACCCTAGAGACCAAGCGATAGTCAGAACACTGGATTTTTCCGATTTCATACACAGCTGGCAACAGCTGGAAAGGTTACGGCCACGATTTTGAGATTGAAGAGAAGAATCCTCATGGAAGGTTTGTAGAATGGAAGAATGATCTCGGGGCAGTAGTACCGATTTGATAAGGAATAAGGAGACACGGCCCTATTTGGCTAAGAAAAAACTGCCGTTTCACCATGATAACACACTAGCACATTCGTCTGGAATTGTCACAGCCAAACTGCATGAACTGCACTACAAATTGCTGTCGTAACCACTATAGTTGCCCAATTTGGCTCCCTGCGACTGCTTCCTGTTTCCCGACATGAAAACGTAGCTTGGAAGAAAAAATTTAGCTCAGACGAGGAGGTTATCGTCGCGGCAGAAGCGTATTTTGAACAGTATGACAAATAGTATTTTTTGAAGAGGTTAAAGAAATGGCTGAAAAGATTACATTGCAAAAAAAACCAAAAAAACTGATTCCTAACATGGGTACTTATTGATGGACCCTCGTAAGTGTAGGCTTTTTAATTTTTTTTAAGCATTTTGACAATTATGTAATATGTTTTATTTTAACATTAATATATTAAATATAATGAATCCTTTTTTCATTATTTGCCCCCACCTCTACCGGATATGGATCTGCTATTAAGAGGTTATACCGTAATATTAAATAAAATGTGTTTAAAATCAGTTTTTTTTTTCTATTTCTATGTTATTTAAAAACAAAAACTAGAAGCAGTAACACAAAAACAAATCTTGTACTAAGAAACCGTTTCACCTAATTATGTAAATTGAAAAAACTTAATTTCCTACCTCCGTTCATGGAATCGATGAGTACATTGAAAGCAGGCCTGGTCTCTGTGCCGCGGATCACAGTCCTCAGTTTGGGGAAGTCGAAAATTTCCTTCATCAGTGACACGTAATTGATAGCGGAATCGATGATCTCCACTACAAAATCGCGCCCGTCCACCTAAAACGAGTGGTAAAACCGTCACGACCCACTACGATTTCAAAACATACTTACGTTGAAAGTCGTGGTGCCTATTATATCGATAAGCCTGTCGGTTTCAAGTTTGGGCGTTGTACGGTACTCAGTAATCTTCTTGGTGTTTTCGTAAATGGCGTCAGAGACCGAATCGGGCGCAGGTCCACCATTTTCGATATTGTACTTTATGCCGAAGTCGTTCCTGATGCCACCCGGGTTGTGAGATGCAGTCAAAACGATGCCACCTGTAAGTGAAAGTCGGTACTAGTGAAAACAACCTTGCGCTAGTTGTAAAAAAAGGTTTACCTAGAACATTATGCGTTCTGATCAAGCTTGAAACGGCGGGTGTAGACAAGATGCCTAGTTGTCCTATGATCAGTTTGGCAACCTAAAAAAAATGAAATGATAGAAACCCTCGTCAATAGGTGACATCTAGTGAGAAATTCAGTTTTTCTATATTTGGATAATATTCTTATGGCAACATTAGGATAAAAAGTAATAAAGCTTAGCAGGAAAGATAACAACGTCGGTATAATCTTTAAATCCATGCAGTGTGATTAATAAAACCTCCTAAAAGATAACAAAATGTTGTCTTAAGGATTAAAAAAGGTTTATGTAAAACAAAACATGTTCAGGTATAAAATTTTATATCTTGCAGATAAAATTTAGCAAAAAAATTGTACAAATGATCACTTAAATGAAAAAATATAGAGCGACAGTGTTTCAATGGGATGTCCACTGGTTTAACCACGAATCGAATTAAATGTGGGTTTTTAAAAAACCACAATGTGACGGTTTAATGTGACTCGCGATTTTTTCAAACTACATAATCCTTGCAATAATGCTAAATACTGAGGATAAACCGAGTAATGCGCAATTTAATTACTTAACAATAAAATTGAAAAAATGGTAAATAAAAGAATTTTTTTTATCAATGGCAAATCATTTTATAAGAAGTTTAAACTAAGGTTCATTTAAAAAAAGTAAGACATATAACACTTAACAGTACATTATTAATAGAAGGATATTATCACTCCATTGAACTGTTTGTAATAGTTTCGTTTTTGGTCAGACGTCACTACAAAAGTTCAACGCAACAATCAATAAACTTACGATAACAACCTCAGGCTTTTTTTGATAAAATTACAAGGAAAAATTTAATGATGTTAGAAAAAATAACTGAACTCTGATGAAATATACAAATTCCTACAGATAATCCTTCTAATCAGTACAATAAATATTTGTTTAAGAATTACATAAAATAAAATAAATCCATTTTATATTAATTAAATTTCTATTTTCTTGTTTTTTTTTAGTCAAATTTGGCTAAAATTATTTCTGTAGAAATTTTAAAACGATAAATTATTAGACCATTCCCACTAATTCTTCGTAGACTTTTATTCTTTTTCCTAAAGTGGTGTCAAGAGGTTAAATAGATATGATACTTTAACTTTAATAACACATTAATGTTAAGTAGGTACGTTTAACTATTACAGCCAAATAAATTTTGTAGAATATTACCTAATGTTTGTTTATTGTACAATAAACGATTTTATTGGCGTAATACAGCATTAAACATCTAACAGGAAAAACAAAAGGCTATTAGCAACGTTATGCGTTGATTTAATCATTGGTAATTTACCATACAAATTAGATTTTAATAGCAGCATAAAATTAAAGATAATTTTTTTTTATTCACAATCTTACAACTTACCCCATTAGCTGAAGCAATCCTGATGATAATGTTGATAGCCTGCTTGGAGAAATAGCGTCCGTCCCCTCCTACGATCAATGTGGAGCCCTTAACTTTGTCTCCGAGGGCATTAAATATAGACTGAATGAAGTTCTCGGTGTAGTGCTTCTCCATAAACACCTTGACTTTCTTCCTTAGGCCACTCGTACCCGGCTTCTGCCCCTCGAAGGGAGTGGTTGTCACCACTACGGAGCTCAGAGACATTTTCTAACCTACAAGCGGAGTAAAGTAAATAACTTTCTGGCTAAATCTGCGATAAAAACGATGTGTTTAAGTTAATTAAAGCGCTGGTGACATGAACCGACCGAGATAACCTTCTCCGAACGATATCGAAATAGGTTTGAGTAAAATTTGAAGGTTATAGTTCCTTCTTGAATCGTCCACGAATTTGACACCTACCTGTTATTTTTGCGAAATGGTTCGCGGCGATTCTGACTGATTACACGTTTAGATTGGGAGTATTTACGAAGTTTGTGAAATTTCTGATGTATTTCTCGATATTTTGAAGGGCTCAATGTCAGTAAAAGGTCGTTTTGTGCGCCTGCACCTCCCAGGAAAATTCAATCTATAGCGCGGGAAATTTAAAACTTGAATTAGTTTAACTCCGAGCGCTGAATTACCAAAATCTTTATATTATGTTACGTACCATAATAATTACGAACTACTATAATCTGTGTCCCCGATCCCTGATAGTAACGTCTCGATTTACGATTGGCAAAGACGTATGGCATTGCCAGAAGTGGTTAGTTATAAAAAAACTACGTGCAACGGCCACATTTTCCGTTATCTGGGGATTTTGGAATCCGACTTGTACTTAAGTCTAAGATAATTAAAAATTGTAACGCTTCTAATACTGTCTGAGATAACGTTGACAAAATCATGTGTCACCATTAGCTGTAATTTGTCTGATATACTGATAAAATTCATTCTGATGACTATGCAACAGTAATAAAATGACTGGGCATTATTTAACATTTTTATAGGTCAAATTCAATTTATTAAAAGATTGTGTTAGGTGATATTTCGGCCAACTTCTCTTGATCAACGTTAAAGCTAATCTTCTAAATTCTTGTCTGAGTGAGTATTCTTGTAAATTATTGTCAGTGAACATTAAACAGACAATACTTATATGTATTTAGTGCATATATAATGGTTCTGTTCTTATTATTCGAATTTTGCTATTAATTACATAAAAAGTTATCATATACACATCATGAAAAAATTGTTGCTGTTTTTTAATTTAAATTTGAAATCCATTTAGAATTATCACTCGATAGAGCACGCGCCACCTATTGTTACTTCTGCGAGGTTGTAGAAATGTATGTCATCCATTAAAAGATAGATGGCGCCAGGAGTACCAAAATTACTAAATTTTTAAATATGTAATTAAAAAATTCCCCCATTGAATTGTTCTGGGTTATTGTTATACTTGATGTGATAAATATTTAATTTACCAATGAGTATATTATTAAAAGAATATTAGAAAATTTGCATTTTATAATCTTTATAATAGTCGACAATGATTAAAAATTTTTATTCAAATGTGATATAGCATGATTAAGTCTTTTCCTGTTTAATTTGAGGAAGCCTTATTACATATTTTTCTTGAAAAAACCTCAAGTAAAGGCGCCTTGTGACCAGTGGCGTACTGCGAGTAGTCTTTGTACACAAATTTTTTTGCTTTACAAAAAATAATAAAAATCGAATAAATATTTGTTTAAACAATTAACAATGCCTCATCCTCAGATATCAAGTACAGTGCAGTATGGCATCAAATTATATCGGGTGATTATTAAGTTCATAAGTGGTAAATGGGAAAGTAATTTAGCACAAATTATTTTTATAACGGCTTCTTTGATTACTTAATTTATATTGTGGGGGCAAGTTGGGCATATCCCAATACCCACCCATTCCCCACGTCCCTGTTGCTCAAGCACCCAAGGGGTCGACAATAACTATCACACGTCTCCTCTTGTACATCCATTCGGAATCCCAACAGTTTATTTTTTTATATAAAACACGCCACCATGTGTTATATCTGTTACTTACACATGCGCTGCCTTTCATCCAGCTGGATCCGAGTCAGAATCTTCCATTTCTTTCCCCCACGTTCCTCTTCGATGTACCGAGCGTCCACGTGAAGTACAAATATCACCAGAATCCACATATGATTCTAACAGTGTCTTCTCATATTACTCGCATGATGATTTTCAGCTTTATATACACATAACTTAAAGGCTAAGTTCGATTTTTTTTCGGCATAGTTCTGAGCCGTGTATGGACATATTTTTAACTATAATTTTGGTTGCACAGTCGATATGTGGCTGCTGTAAGTGTATTTGAATATTACGATTGTTTGTCGATGTAAATAGTTAGTGACAAATTTAAAAAATGGGCTAGGATAGACTAGCGGTGGGGATATATTGAAAAAAAAAAAAAATGGTAAGAACTGGCAATACTTTTTTACGAGTTTTCGTAAACAAGAACAAATTCTTTTAAATTATAGTTTTATTTAATTTTTGAGCTCCATTATTCTTCAAATTTTAACTGTATATCAAAAAACTATATGATATAGAATATACAATGAGTACAGGACGACTTTTATCATACTGTATACAGATAGTGAGACTTTTAAAATAAATATTTTCCTTGTAAAAACGGGCTATAGAATTGAAATTAAATTTTAACCAAACTCTACTGTTTCAGTGAAAATCGTTTTAATAAATAAATGTTAGTACTATAGACTGTTAGTAGCTTCACTTTAGGCGATTGTTTTTAAAGCCTACTTTTTGAATATATGAGTGAACCGAAAATGAGTCTATCGTTATCACCCTGTATACAGTATTTAAAATATTTATGTTTATAAAAAAGGGTAAATTGTTGAAATTAGATTAATGTTTAGATATTTCTGTATCAGCTACTTGTTTTTTTAAACTGGCGAAAAGAGTGCGTTTAACCAAATTCTTCCTGTTCCGATTATATAAAAATTTTATCCACAATTTAAAAACGATTTCAATTTGTACAAGTGCTGGATATTGATAAGTTTTCAACTGTTTCTGCGGTGTGGTCTGTGAGATAAGTGTAACGGACGTGGTTAACTTGATTAACGTTGCTCTTTTAACTCTGCATTTCAATTGTTTCAACGTTATAGCGTCTGTCGTATTATTTAGCCAATGTTGCATTTTCTCATCCAAAACGATTCAATAATTCAAATATATTTCTAAAAAAGTGCAGATATACACAAAATATGTATTTATGTTTTTTCGTGACAGTCTTAATTATGTCACCCTGTATATCTTATGGATCTATTAAAATATGTTTGCTTCATGAGTTTTAGAAGAAGTATTGGTTTAAAATAAATAGGTACCCAGGATGTACAGTATATTCACGGTTAGAGTGGAAAAGAGGGAAAATATTTTTATTTTTCATTTTACGAGAAAAAGGCATTCTTGATTAAAATTTTTGCTTGTCTTTAAAATGCGGTTGGCACGGAAAACTTTAATCTTGCACGTACAGGGTGATCAGAAAATCGGTAAATATAAAAATCGTTCAAGAATAAACTGCCATTATTTTTAACAATACAGAAATATGTTATTAAGGAAAGTTGCTTAGAATTGAAATTTATATTATAATTTCAATTTGTGTATGAATCGGCCTACTTTGATAGAAACGGACAGTAAAACATTATTATTGTTCATTTTACGAGAAAAAAGCGTTTTTGATTAAAATGTTTGCTTGCCTTATATCTTTAAAACGTTTTTAAAAAATCCGTCGATCCTAACTCTTCTTTATTTGGACAAGTGTGTACAAGCTTCAAGGGAATAATTCTTACGTAAATATAATTAAAAACATTTTGTAAATCTTGGTCCGAATATGGAAAAAAAATTGTGCCGCGGCCATAATTCTGCGTTTCACTTTATAGTGCCGTACGTATAGAGAGGCATCAGCATCATTTGCAAAGCGTAATTTCTCCACCAATGATTTTTTTCAAATATTTACACATATTTTGGAATAACTTGTATAATAACGATTATACTTTCTCTTTGTTTTGCAATAGAATTATAGTTTGTATAAAGAAATTTAATTAGTAGGCAAAAATAATAAGAAATAAACATATTAAAAATAAAAATATGTAAAGATATTTGAATTAAGTTATTGTAGTCGAAATTGTGAAAAAACCGTGAGTTTACTATACAAGGTGTTTGAAAATTTTACGTAATTAGCGAAGTATGTAATTTTTATGGTACATAGTAAAATTTTAGTAGGTGTAATTTGAGCAAAAATCGGTGATATGTCGTAAAAATCTCAATGTTTCTGTGTAATGTTTGCATTAAATTTAGATAGAAAGAACTGCCTTCCATATACAATAAAATATATATGTTTAAAAAGGCGTATACAACTTAGATAAAAAATAATTCACATGAATCTCTTATTTAATACTGTTGACAATGTCATTGTAAATTGATATTTTTTTATAAAAGTTTTGTGTTTTTTTAAATTCATATAATTTTTTCTATTTTATTTATTAATTTCATTCTCAAGGAAGAAACAACCCCAATGAAATGTTGAAATCTGGCTGTTTTTAGGAAGCAACAAAAATACAAGATATAGCGGGTGTTTTTTTTTAACCTGAAGCTGTGATTGACGAAATTAAATTTTTCTCCATTTCTCCTACTAAGAAGATCAAGAGCAAGCACTCCGAATAAGGCACAAGCAAAGGAAATTGCGTTGACCAAGTATCCAAAAAAGTCACCTGTTCATGGGTTGCGATAATAATTGTTTCTTGACAAGTAATTCTTCAGTAATTGAAAATTAGAGAAATATAATTTGTTTTAAAACTAATTTTGATTATTTGCAGTGAAAATGTGGTATTTTTTATTGCAAACGTATTGCAGAATCGTATGCATAGGTCCAGTAAGAGAAATTGAAAAAATAGAATTTCGTCGGTTACAGTCATCTATCTAAAAAAATATTTTAAACCCTACGAATTATGACGTTAAAAATATTTTATTACATGTATTCAAAATAAGAGGTTGTAAATTATTTTTGGATGAAAATTGACTGATATTTAGTCGCTCAAACTTTGCGCCAATTTTTCGATTTTAGTCGCATTTACCCTTATACGTTTTAATTCTCATTTTTTGCAAAAAAGGAAGGAAATAAGACGTTCAAGGATTTGTTCGAAGGGTCATTATAAATGAAAAAACCGTGGGGTGCTATTAAATTAGAGGGTTGAAATTGAGGATAGGGGTGAAAATGCACTTTTGCAGTTTTTTAAATATAGCACGAAAACGAAGCAAAATTTCGGTATAGTTCATAGGAAAAATTTTGTAGATAATTGAATTTCCCATCCAAATGGCTAATCTAAAAAAATTTAAACGAAACATTTTATGCAAAAAAATTGTTAATAAACAATTTAAAAAAAGCAAAAGTTTAGATTTTTGATTTTTTTTACTTTTTTGACTCAATTTTTTTTTTTTTTTAGTAGAAATAGGCAAAGAGTATTGTTGTACATAAAAACTAGATGAGATTCCCTTCAAATCGATGCATTTTCATAAGTTTTTGGACTAATATTGACTGAGTTACAACAGGTTAAACCTAAGTAGTTTTTTAGATTTTCATCGTTTTTAACACAATAATGATTATAATTCTTATTATTTTTACAGCAAATTGGTTCTTTACTCAATAAAAAAATATTTCAAAAGTTTTATTTGTTAATCATAAATAAAGATTTTCACAACAGTATGAAACTATGAGGGATTTTTCAAATGAAATTACAGTTACTTCGTTTTCGAGCTACAATTAAGAAACTGAAAGGGGTGTATTTTCACCCCTATCTCCAATTTCCACCCGCTAATTTAATAGCACTCCGCGGTTTTTTCATCTAAAATGACCCTTTGAACGATTCCTGCAATAAAATTGCTTGAATGTCATAGTTCCTTTGAACCCTGTTGTTTTGTATATAATCAATAGCCTACATCTTTAGCCATTGAATCCAAATCTGCAATAAAAAATAGAGGTTCCTATTTAAAATTTCAAAGTTACCCTCAGTCTTACCTACAAGGAGGGGGAGAGGGACTAATTTAGCTCTAATTATGTTCCCTCCGTGGAATGATTTAATTTTGATTATGGACATTCTTTTCGTAGAATGCTTATTTCTCGAGATATTAGAAAGACTCAGGTTAAAACGCGGTATATTTGAAATATTGCATTATTTAACAATTTCATTGTCAGGTACGTGTTTTAATACTAATAATATTTAGATACTTATATCACTTTTATTTTGGATATTTATTAATTTCTAGATATTGCTGATGTAATTCGGTGCTAGTTGCTTCTTGCAATTACAATATCTTTTGCAAAACGAAATTTTTGGTATTTGACTTCATTTGATAGAATTATTATTATTATTTTTTTAAATCTATGTAAATTAGTTTAATATATTTATAATCAAGTAAAAAATCCGGTTTATTTTTCGATGGGTTTTGAATTTTGATTATAAAAAATAACTTTTATGTTTGCGATGCTTAAACATGTAAACTGTCTAATTTCCGCGTAATTATCGAAATAGCCCAAACAAATAGTTGCGATTATCAGGTCCAGCGGCGGTCAGTCAGAGATATCCTGGTCCTTATCGTGCTAACCATATTTCCTTCCACGCCCAACATGGGAAATTATAAATAGGAAAAATACAAATCGGGACATTATTTTGCCTCGTTATTCGTTCCAGAGTGGTTCGCGACATCCATACTGAAAGAAGTGTCCCTCGAGACTTAACTTTTTGCCGTAGGGCTCATCAAAGGGTAACTGGCGTGGTTTCTACTGCTAGCTGCCTTTTGAAGGGCAATATTGCAAGGGTTTGATACAGCTTGGGCGACGACAGAGAAGTGGAAGGTCTGGTGAGATTCTTTGTTTGTTTTTTTTTTACCTTCTAAGTGGATGGTAACTTCGATAATTCGCGACGAAATGCTTTTCTTGATATGATTTTTTTATATATTTTTGAGTAGGTAATATTTAAAAACTTGTTTTTGTTGGAACTTTAATTTTTTAATAAATATACATTTTTTTATTATTTTTAATAACAGTGGTGATAGCAAAATAAAATTTGTACTGGTATGGTGGCCTGAAATTAATGCAACAAAATTTGGTCACAGATTCTTTAGGGTGCTCCCGTAAATACAGGGGGTGATAGTACGACAAAAAATAAGAATTTTTTGTCTTATGAACTATATGTCTATCCCGTCTTGTTTTCGAGATACAGAGCGACATAATAAAATTTTTTAAATAGAATTTTTACGAAAATTTCCAAACAGTGCGAAATATATTTATGAAATTTGATATTTCGGAGTGTTTAAAGATGCCAAATATGCTGGTCTAATTAATTTTTTGATATTTCATAGAGGACGCTAGTTATGCTACATTAATATTACATTTTAAGTTATAATTTTTTTAAGGTTAGGTTTTTTACCATTCGGGCTCCAATTTTTAATGTACAATTTTATTTTCTTGAAATAATGTACTCTTGTTAGAACTTCCTAATGTGGACGGTTTTCGAGAAAAAAAGATTTTAAATTAAACTTACAATATGACGGTGTATATAATAAGTGACTTTTCTCAAAGTAGGCTTATGTCAAAACTTATTGATGGATGTCTCATAAACAACGCATACATTTTTAGTAATATTTTAAACTCTAATTAACTTTATATCAACATTTTAGTGATTTTTAGTGACTGTAGTTAGTAATGACTAATGACAGTCAGTAAAATTTTAATATAAAGTCAATTAGAGTTTAACGTATTACTAAGAATGTATGCGTTGTTAATGAGACATCCATCAATAAGTTTTGACATAAGCCTACTTTGAGAAAAGTCACTTAATTTCTTCACCGTAATATTGTAAGAGTTTAATTAAAAGCCTTCTTTCTCGAAAACCGTCCACATTAGGAAGTTCTAACAAGAGTACATTATTTCTAGAAAATAAAATTGTATATTAGAAATTGGAGCCCGAATGGTAAAAAACCTAACCTTAAAAAATTAGAACTTAAAATATAATATGAATGTAGCATAACTAGCGCCCTCTATGAAATATCCAAAAATTAATTAGACCAGTATATTTGGCATCTTTAAAAACCCCGGAAAACCAAATTTCATAAAAATATTTCGCACCGTTTGGAATTTTTGTAAAAATTCTATTTAAAAAAATTTATTTTGCCGCTCTGTATTTCAAAAACAAGAGGAGATAGACATATAGTTCATAGGACAAAAAATTCTTATTTTTTGTCATACTATCACCCCCTGTATTTAAGGGAGGTCTTTCTGAAACACCCTGTACATCAGAATCTGTTGTATGAGAGATCGAGACTCACTAAATTTGGTACACAAGGGTTTTATGATATGTGGAATCTGATAGTGCTACGTTTTTTGGCGGGGAACCCCCCTAAGACCTTTTTTCGTGGGCCCCCTTGTCTTAGGAGCCAAAAAAAATTTGGTCGCATATTTGAATTTCTTAAAAATTATTAGTCCGCTAGGAAGCCGTTGAATTTAGAAACTTTTTTTGTCTCTTGACATTTTTTTCGTAAAACACAATGATTTCGAGAAAAATGGCAAAACGGATTTCAGGGGGCTGTAACTCCGAAACTGGGGGCCACTTGGCAATAATCAAAAACTTGATTTAAGAATCTGTGACTATTCGGGACACTCGGTACAATAATTAACTCAGCTTTGGGTTATATCAATAAACGGTAACACGGAACTGTTTTGTCAAATATTTAGCTGTGTTTCGAACCGATTTTGTTGTAAAATAAATATGTAATGGATTAGTTGAACCTTATCTCTTTGATAAGACACACTCACCTGAGTTGCCAGTATCAAACTAATATCAACAAAAATGAACGGTTTTATACGTATTACAGTGAACATATTTTTCCTGGCTTGCATTTTGCTCGAGGTAAGTGTTTTTTTCTATACATATAGAAAATTAGGTTCATCCCAATAACAAATTTGTATTTACATTACCGACATTATTATCAGTTTTCCTTGTTTTAGGTATTTAATGACAATCGGTTGTCGGAATTCAAACTAATACCAATGATTTTCTAAAATGTTTCAATTTTAATTAGGCAATTCAGATTCGAGCGTTCAAAGTAAGAAAAAAAAAGTCGGATGGAGAAATATCCCAAAATATACGTTTCCGAGATAGAGGGCGGTGAAATACTTCTTCTAAAATATCTTAGAAGGCATTTAGCACGCAGTGAGGAAAGTTGGGTTAATGATTAAATAATATAAAAATATTTTGAGGTCGAATATAAATACAGGGCGTCCGCAAATTTCAACAACGTTTGACTGCATATTCACGTCGTTAAATAAATACGATCTACGAAAGAAAAGTTAAATACAAATTTTTTCGTTTTTGAGTTCAACGTTGTCAAAAATAAAACTAATTTAATTAGTAACTTCATAACATTTTACCGATCGAGTTAAAATTTGGGACATTTATTTGGACAATTATGGCGTATTATTTGTTAAAACTTTAGTCAAATCGATATACTGGGTGATAGTTTTCTCTCGTTACCTCTTACGTTAAGTTCTTGAGCGGAAGTTAAATGAAATGGCCGAAGAAGTTGCTTTTTTCAATTTTTGTGAACATTAGTTTTACATACCTATATTTAATTGTCTTGATACACTGCGGACACATAATTTACATGTGTGGGGTGACGAGAATCCTAAAAATCCTATAGAAACTCGGCAATAATGACATTACAGACCTGCAAATAATGCCATTTTTCTCAAGAATGGCTTTCTGCAGACAGTTTTCTCAAGAGACAATATTTTTTTTAAATAAAACCACCTTTTCAGTGTTGCTGCCCGTTTAAAAAACTACTGTAAAAGTTTTGACCGCTAAAGGGCAGAGGTAATCGGAGAAAACTAACACCCAGTATGTCGATTTGACTAAAGCTTTAACAAATAATATGCCATAATAGTCCAAATAAATGTGGCAAATTTTAATGTGATCAAAAAAAAAGTTTTTATTGAACATTTTTTTCGTAGATCGTATTTATTTCTCGTCGTGAATATGCAGACAAACGTTGTCGGTGAAATTTGCGGACACCCTGTATATGTATCAGTGGCGGAGATATAGGGAATTAACATTATAAAGAGCCCAACAATACTACGACACTGGGTTTTGAATATTCTCTACTTGTGACTCCTAGTGGCGTTTCTAAGAAAAAATATCTTTTCCATTTTATACGAAAAACGGACTATTTTTTAGTTATTATCTATATTTCACATTACGTACTTACGAAGCACTTAATTAAAGAAAAAATAACTTAGAACTAACAACAACTGTTCGACAAAAGAGTTCATAATATTTTTTGTCTAAAAGTACTGTTTTAAATATATGAAAAGTCGAAGAAAGTCATTGGCGTAAAAAGTTTACGTATTTTTCGGTGATACGCTTTTTATAATCTCCACGAAAATATTTTAGAAAAAAAATCCAGGGAAATTTTTTGCGAAACGAGCAGTTCTAGTGTTATTTTAGGTTTGCTGGTGAAATGCAATGCTGTACGTGGCTGTAGTCCGCAAAGTAGTTTCCCACGATATCATTAGGTAAAAATTTTATTTTTCCGTTTATTGCAATTTTTCTAACGGTAAAGTAAGATATAAAGAAGTAATAGCGTATAAATGCTGTGTGTATTTGGAATAAAATTTAAGAAATAATTTTTTATAGAACGTCTATTTATGAGGTGCAAGCGGTGGTAATCGAAATTACAAAATATCTAGCGTGTACAATTTGTGGGGTTAATATTTATATCCGATTTTAGAAAATTATCTTATAACTAGATAAACCTTTAAATCAAGTTTCATTTCTTTATGTCAAACCACCACATAGATATTTTCAAAAACGTACATTTTTTCCAAATTTCACTGCACCTTGAAGCGTTTCTGAACATTCGTCACGTCTTTTTTTTCTTATTTTTGTCACCCAAATTCAAGTTCTAAGTTTGTCCAATTAATCCTGAAATACATTGTATACAAGTTACGTACGATCATACTGGGTGTTGCAAACTTATAACGAATTTGCTAAAGTTGAAAGTATTTTGTCGTTTTCTTACAGTGCTGTAAATCTGTAGTAATAAAAAATATCACAAAGTTTTATTATAATACCTACAGGGTTGCTGATGTATAAATTATAAGACACAAAAGTTTTAGGGTTTGTTAAAATCGAAACAAAGTTGCTTTTTCTTTAATGGAACACCCTGTATATTATTCCATATCTCAATTATTCTCGAAATTCTAAACAAAATTCATATAGCACATTAATTAATCGTTTTCGAGATATCGAACTTTGAAAATCATTTTCTTATAAATTATACAAAAATATTTTAGGCCAGTCAATAGAGACAAACATATATGTATATTTTCACAAATATTTGTGACAAAAATACTAGTAGCAAACGGACTGTGCCATCATATAAAGGACAGTCTGTACATTTGCTTATATGTTTCCTACTCCAATTTACCATTAATTAATTCTTTATAAACATTTTTATGCAAAACGCATTTTTTATAGTCTTTTGCTAAACTAATAAAGCAATCTAAATGCTATAAAGAGACAATTTGTAGAGAATCGAACTACGAATAAAACGAGAAGTCGATCAATCCGATCGGATAATTAGAAACGAAGGAAACCCGGAAAATGTAGCTTTTTTTAATTCATTACTCCGCCATTTTTTAATGCAACTGCCTGTGCATAAAAGTAGTGAATTATATGTACTTTAAGTGTCCACAAAGCAGGCGCTGTCGGACCATTAGTTTTGGCACATTTGCAATTTGAATTTTTTGCAAAATTTCTGGAACGTTGGAGATAGTCCGATTTTAATTTTTTAGCTTGATTTTAAAAGCAGAAGTATAATACTACTAAAGGCATATATATATTTTCCGATAAAATTATGCGAAATAGATAAAAAATTCCTCCTTGGGGTTATTTTTGGAGATGAGGGGCAGTGGATATGTAGATATACAAATTTGAATATTGTTAGTTATAGTACAGTAATATTATTGTAAGTGGTGATACATAATAAATAATACTACCAATACACGGAATCACAATGATGTGAAACCTATGGAGTATGGACATTCCTTGTTTTGTTATGTGAAATCTTAACATCAAACGTGAATTTGAAAGTTTTCTTACAAAATGTACTTTTCTGTTCCAAAGAATAACATATAAATATGTATTCTTGTATTGTATGTATTCTTGTATTGTGATGTGTATGAATTTCGTTTAGAATTTTAAGAAGAATTGAAATATGGAATAATATACAGGGTGATCCATTAAAGAAAAAGCAACTCCGTTTCGTCATTACTTTTTGACTGATTCTGTATACTTAATTTTTCTTTATTGTAATAGATTTTAAAAACCCTAAAACGTTTGTATCTTATGATTTTTCGATAGCTATCTTACTTTAGGAGATAATCGACCGTTTCCGTACATATCAGCGACCCTGTATAAGCTTAATATTTACAGATACATTTATACCTTTCTGAGATATTAAGTAGGTTTATCTGATTTGGAATTGACGAACAAATATTCATAAAAAAATTAATATAAGCTTATTAATATGAAGAAAATCCTCAAAAAAAATTATGACTAGTTTGGATACCTAAGAGACGAGATATTAATAAAATAATTTTTCACGATTTAGTACAGAGTCTTATGAGAATGCAGATTTTTTTGATCTTTCCAACAGTTTTTACAGCAACTTGTATAAATAGGAAACCGATATCTTAGGAACCGTATGACAGCTCGTAGAAATCGATTAGGTACTTGTAAGATACATAATTTATAATAATTCTCCTTCAAACTGCTGTCGTTGACTAACTTAACCTTCATATGCGTGATAGCGGCAACGCCGCGGTTCTCGAAGTAGCGTATTATTTGAAATTCGCAGGTGTGACATATG